GTACTACCTGGCCTTAAAGCTTAATGCACTTGCTTCTCGAGTCAGTTTCATTTGACTTTGCTGTTTCTCCGGTCCGTGAATTAATAATAGCAATAAATTCGTTTTTTTCTGCTCTTACGTTGATTAAAGCGGTCGTTAGGTGTTTATTCCGCCCGGGCCCCACCTGCCCGCCCCCGTCGCTTGGACCGGAAGAGGCGATAAGGGATGAAGCGACAAAAGGACAAAACGAAAGTAATGCGTAACAGTTAATTTTACTTTTCCGTGATACGTTGGCAAACGGAACGGCAATTATTTTACATTAGAGTGTGCCCGGAGAGCCGCAATATAAAAGCCGCAAGATATATCGCGAGAATAAGTTTAAATTGCGGTTTAAGCTCATTTTTATTTGAAATGTAAACGCGCAATTTGCTTCTTTTTGTTGTTGACGATATAACGGTGCTCCACGTAAATAGAGGCGCGCTTGCTTGCCAACTTTTCAATGGTCGTATTTGTGCGTGGAAAGTCGAGAGAACGAGACTGAATACCATCCGTTATTCATTCTTCGGATGATAAAAAGTCTGTTGGTTCTGACTAGAATCGGACGTGTACACAACGTCTGCCAAGTGCCGTGTTTGATCGGGGGTTTTACCCTTATTATGCGCGCTCCGCGTTGCATTCACATACACAAAATAACGTCTAGACCAAAAGGTTGTTTATTCAGCTCGAGCACTCGCGGTGTACGGCGCAAAAACGGAGAAACTAATTATGTTAAATAAATGGGGCGGACGCCGAGACTGGCGGCTCTCAAAACCATCCGTCGGGTTCGGGAAAAAAAATTCGACGCGTCAAGGAAAACGCATCGCATCCTACCGGCTGCGTCGATTCGGGTTGTATGCGTTTCGCCGTCGAATTAATCGATTTATCAAAGCGCATCTCCATATTTATTTTTAATCCGCATTGAAATTAATACGTCAATTTCTGCTTCGCCGACCGGGAAAAATTCCCGATTCCGCGGAGACCGGGGCCGCGTTTCCTGCGGGACGACAGTGGAGCGCTCTCATAACTTAACTTTATAAATCTCGATAGGGTTAAGAGGGGAACAATTTTGTATTTTTCGTCGAGAGCACGAAACCCCGAAATAAATTTATTCGGTTTGCAAGTTCCACCAGGCCGTAACGAATGGCCTTCCTGACCCGCGAACAAAACTGGACTTTACGTTTTCTCTGATTTATATTGTCTACAGTTAAACGGCAGAGATAGCGCACGGCTTTAACAGATGAAGGATCGAAGGAAGTGATCGAAATTCTCGGAACGTAGCCGGCACACATATTCCGGAATTAAATAAAAAAGTTGGAATTTAAACAGCACTCCGCGGTAAAAACCGAGTTATAACTAGTTCGGAGGAGTCTTTTCAAACTGCTCGTCGCGAAAAATCTCGTACGAAGTAAAAAAATTTGATCACGGTTCGTGTAAGGGGCCGTATGTGTGCGTGTGTCTGTGTGTGTTTATATTTTAAAGGTATGTTTATGCGATGAATAATATGGAGCCATTAGGGAAGCTTTTAGCTTCCAGGAGAAACTCGACGTGTACCGGCGCTGTGCTTTTTTGCGAGTGTATAAATCTACTCGTTCAACTCATTGAATTTAAGGTCTTTTTTCGTCGTGTGTTGATGCACTTTATCCGGGTTTCCGGTTTTTCGAGCTACCGGCGAAGCGATCTTTATTAACTCCCTAATATTTAGAGTACCTTTTACAATGCGATGCCGGTTTGTTCTTACTCGAGCGGCGTTTCGTGCAACTTCCCTCTGTTTTTCCGTCTTGATCGTCTACTTCGTATTAACAGAAGTACTACTCGACCAAAAGCGCAGCTTATTTACGACACGCTAATGGCCGGGTAATTCCTTGACAGGTTTCCGACGGTTAATTCGGCCTAAAAGCACTTTTAATTTATGAGTAAAGAGGGCATTAAAATTTTTAATTGTTATGTTTCTTTTGCGACCTAAAAGCTTCTCTTGTTTATGTCTTTTTAAGGAAGTTTCCATGTACAATTTTTAGAATCCGTAAAATATAAATTTATGATCTCCAAGTAAAATATCTCGGCTTCTTCCCCTCCTTTCATGTTTTATGCATCTATTTATTGTTAAACTTTTCGCACTAATGAACGGATCCGAGCCGCGGCGGTAAAAGCGTGAAATTTCCTCGAGCCCAGAGGTGTTTAAGCGGCTCGTCTTCGGGTTTTATTTGGTTCTTTACGTTTCCAGCATTGTTGTGGCACGAGAGTTGCAATAATTAATAGGGCGGCATTTGAAATTATAAGTTGAAGGGCGAACATCCTACGAGCTGCGCCACCCGGAGGAGAATACATAATAACTACAGTAATAATATTTAGCTTCGCATTTCCGAAGCATGTAATTTATTACATCTATATGAACGTATTATTATTATAATCACAACGTAACCAAACAGACATAGGAAATATAACACTTGTCGCGCAGGTGGGTGGTGCGTGGGCTCAGTGCGATTCGATTACGCTCGGTTGCGATGTATTAAAATAAAAGTGACAAAAGTGGTGCATTTGCCTATTTTTTATTTCAGCCTCTATCCACAACCACAACAACCCCCCCCCCCCTTCTGGGAGAATCTCAACTCTCTTTTTGCCTTTTATAAACTTTGTAGTTTCGTGTGCTGTATTCACATGTTACTATAACATCTTTCAAAGCCATAATTGCGCGCCCCTTCTTTATTGCCAGTTGTTTTTCCACTACATACTGACATCTTGGTAATTAATCGCAACTGCGTTCTTTCAGGTTCTTCGGGCGGCCAAAACGGGGCAGAAAGCAGCGTGAGCTAACTCGGCACTAATTCACTTAGTGTGCTTCAAAGGCAATTGCATATTGTGTATAATTTTGAAACAAATGCACGGTGCTCTTATCTCTAAATCCCGCGTTTTCCGGAGATTATGCCATAAGCAATGAAATTATTTTACATTATTCATCCTCCCTCGTCCGTAAGGTGAATCTAGTCGGTCGTAAATCCGAGCGTTTTACTACCTGCTAGAATTTTTGTTATTGTTTAAGTCGTTTTCGTCTCCGCGAACAGATTACTGATTTATCTTGGGCGAGTCTGGAGAGCGCCCGCCCTACGTCGTGGATTTTTTTGCGACATTAGCGCGACGCTTCCTTCTCTGACACTTTACGTGGTGAACGTTCCTATTATGGAAGGAAATGGATGTAACGCATCGACCGCGGGGTCCTTCTGGATTCTGTGTATGAATAATAGCTCGGCTCGTTAGCTCAACCTTTCACATAAACGCTGCTGACTACGCTGTCTTTCGTCCGTTGGGTGATATTGCGACGCTGGATTACGTCTATATTTCATGAAGGCAACAGTGGATCGTCGTTGACGTTGCCCACCCCGGTACTCATCTATAATAGACTCTCGCAGCACATGTTTCGCAATAACAGATTGCGTTAATGCACGCAATAATAAACAGTTACCCTTTCCCCCTCCGATTTCCCCCTTTTTGCTGCCGCCCGACCACAAAAACCGACTTTATAGCGCCGGCGGTACGTTACGACTTTGATGGAGCAACCGGCGCATTTTTCCCTTTCAGAAAAAGCAAAACTTGTCGTGATGCTTAAATTGGACGTGACGCGTCTCGTTTACGTTTAAAAATTGAAAAAGCACAAATGACACTATATCGCCGTTAAGTTGACGTGGAAGGCATGCGATGCCGTGGCACTTAGCTACTCCGGAAGCTCCCCAGGCACTCTAGTCTGATACTAAACTTCCACTGTGAAATTGTATCGGATGGTGTGCATCGTCTGGATGCGAGCGCTTGTCTGTCGGTTGCAGCCTCACGTTTCACCTGCATATTTCTGCGAGGAATTTTAATTAGAGTTCTTTAGACGGCGAAAAATTTGATGGATTTTAGCTGCGAACCGAAAAACGCAAGAGGTGAGCTACGCCCTCCAGGTTTTCATCTGCTCATTAAATTTTTTACAGCCAGGAGTGCGTATTTTGCGGAGTTTTATATGAAATTTCTTCAAGTGGTGAAAAATTCCTGTGGTATCGCGTATTTTCCGAAATATTTTCGTAGATCGTATCGGCCTCGGGTTCCATGAGGTTACGGACAACATACACGCATTAAATGCGTCATTGCGATACATGGGAACGTGTCCAAACCTGCTCGCTAAGGGTGAAATTCGTAAAAAACAGAGAGAGAAAGGCGGTTCTTTGTTACACGCGTACGAGCAGCAGCAGATGGAAACGCCAGCCAATTCTATGCAAGTGCCTTTCTCTTCGGGTAGAGTGAGGATAATTGGCGACCTAGGAGCACCAGCAGCATTAGTCGCCGTTTACTGAACAGATATGACAAAAACGAGCTCGCTTTTGACTTTACAGCATCCTACAACAAAAATATCTAAATAATGCCTGACCCAAATTGGGAGGTATCACAAACTGCCAAAACCCAATCCGAAGTGGTATTCTTTCTTTAGCAGCCACGAAACCGAAACCTCGATATGTGCTCTTTTGTTTGTCTTCGTTGTCCGTGCTGAGAGCAGATCATGAAAAACCCAGTATTCGTTAGTCTTATTGCACGTATGTCCGCCCATAAATCCAAGACCTCTCGAATTAAATATAAAATTTTAGTGCGTTCCCTTCCTTCGTGCAAGTTTCACGTATCGAATTAGGTCCGTTTCGATACCGCTGCAACTTTAATACACACCACACCAACATGCATAATACGTATGGCGCGTTGCACACTGCCCGTCGATCGGAGTAAATGGCGTTACACGGTCGAAGCGCTAAATTGTTCGATCTGTACCTCTAAATCGCACAAGAGCCGCCGCCATCGTTAAGCCGCCAATAAATTCTCCCGTAAATCTATAATTTACGCTTTGATTTACGCGAATTCCGTCGGAAATTTGTTAATAGATTAAAACGGATCACGCGGTCCGCATTATTAGGGCTCAGTCCGTCGGACGCGTAAGCTGATGTGGTGTTTTCTTTGTGTTCCAGTGGACAAACTGCCCCCGGGCTTCCCCCAGATCACCCAGTCGCCGATGACCAACAAGGTGGTGGAGATCGGGCACAACGCGGTCCTGACTTGCTCCGCCACGGGAATACCCACGCCCAAGATCACCTGGTTGAAGAACATGCTGCCGATCAACACCAGCAACAACCCGCGGTACACCATAAGGGACGACATGCCAGGTAAACGAAAGAGAAGTTTGTTTTGTTAATTGGGGCGGTGCCAAAGCCCGGGGGAAATCACGGCTCTATGAGTATGTGTGAGGCGGCTATCGAGGTCGCACGATTTTAATATGGCGGCGTGTTGTTGGGGAGAAAGAAAAACGAGAACGGGCAATTCGCTTGCAGAGTTCGTCGGCGAAAGCTCATCTTTCACGGGCTTTTCCTCGAGCAGCTGCACCCTGCATACGTGCATTATGGAGTCGGGTCGAGGGCGCGCAATTTGAAAAACAGATCAGGTTGCCGAAATAACGACCGCGTGGGGCGGGTAGCCGGCGGGGACAATTATAATACGTGGTTAACTGGTCTCGAGTTATCCTCGGCAACGATTCCAAGCATTCGAATACGCCCAGCGCTCCTGAACGTAGCTGCTTTGGTGACCCTAATTCTAAATTCCGTCAGTGGGATAAACTGGGTACTCGACCGCTTGATGAAACGGCGGTTTCGCTTCTGCAAAAAGTCGAAAGAGTACAATCCTATTTCGGATGCTTGTTCCGCGATGTGTTTTATCCGTGAAAATATCTGCAAGGAAAGACAGCCCAACCCAACACACAAGTTGACTTAAGGTTCCAGAAAGCTCCGTTGCCAAAAAGGGGTCTCTTGGAGACAGTTTGGGAACCACTGCGTTACGGGATTACAAGCGCGTCAAATTTTGTATGCACCGTCGTTAGGGGGCCGCATTTATGTCGGGCGTGCATATCGATTCACCCGACCAGGAATAAGGAATATCCGCAAGCGTGCCACAACAAAAACTCTATTTATCTCCGACGTTAACCGTGATCTGGCTCACGAATGGCGCTCGCACCTCGCACAATAACCGCTTTTTATGAATTCGACTGGTTTTTCCTCTCGTCGGTTCTCCATTCACTTCCATAATTACGTACATCCAACAAGAAGTTCCGTCGCATCAATAATAATCGTCGCCTCCGTAAAAAATCCCGCAGAAAGAGAAGACTCATTTCATGCACCCTTAACCCCCGCATAATAATCAATTCTTTGCGGGCGATAAATCGGTCCGCGAACTTGTTAACTTCTTATTAGGTTCGTTTTTCTCGCGGTGTCCTCCCATCGCGTCCATTATCGTTTTTGTCGTATTTTTCTTCGCGCACTAATCGAATGTCTGGTGCACGTGAGCTCGTAGCGTTTGTTTGGAGGAATTCCCCGAAGGAACTGACCTCTCCGGGGACCATTAAGCTTCGCAGACGGGAGGGACTATAGGGTTTCCGTTGTCCGCTCGAATGGCACTTACTTTTGCGATACGTGACGGTGCGGAGGGAATGTGCCCTAAACCGTAGGTTCTGTCGACAGGCGCCCTGCAGATCAGAGACAGCGAAGAGAAAGACCACGGCAAGTACGAATGCGTGGCGGAAAACGCAATCGGCACCGATTACTCCAAGTCGGCCCTGCTCTACGTCAAAGGTGAGATTTTTCGAATCGGCGTCGAGCGGTCGCGACGTTTCTTGTTCTCTTGCAGTACGTCGTGTACCACCCCAGTTTTCGATACCTCCGCAACCGATGAACGAGGTGATGTTGGGCGCCAGCTTGAACTTGACGTGCGTCGCCGTCGGTTCGCCGATGCCGTTCGTCAAGTGGCGCAAGGGTCTCACTCAGGACCTGACTCCCGAAGACAAGCTGCCGATCGGGAAGAACACTTTAGAACTAACTAACATCCAAGAGTCCGCTAATTATACTTGTATAGCCGCCAGCGCTTTGGGGGTTATCGAATCCGTTGCTCAGGTCAAAGTACAATGTGAGTATTGTAGTATGGGCGCATCCACTATATCGATTCCGTGTACAAATCGCAGCATTACCGGGACCACCATCCAATATTAAAGTGTCAGAAATCACGGCCACTTCCGTCAGGCTGACTTGGTCCTACAACGGACCGGAAGATTTACAGTATTACGTCATACAATTCAAGCCAAAATATGCCAATCAAGCTTACAGCGAGATATCAGGAATAATCACGATGTATTATACGATTAGAAGCCTTAGCCCGTACACCGAATACGAGATGTACGTCATAGCAGTCAACAATATAGGTAGAGGACCGCCGAGCGCTCCGACGTTCGTTACGACGGGAGAAACAGGTAATTTCCTTAGAAATTTGTCAGATTCCGTTTGTGTGCAGTGCAACCACTTGTTCCGCTTCTGACGCTCTTCCAAGGAAACGGAGCAGACGGTGTATGTTTAAACGGTCGTCTTATCATAATGGTTATTCCATCTCAAAGCGAACTGTTCGCGTAAGCCGTTTCGCATTTTCTTTAACGCCGCAGACTGTTCAACATGAGTGTCGTTTTCCTGATCGAAATTAGGGAAGAGGATCACTCGTCGCGCCTTTAGTTAAAACGATGATGATAGTTTCCATCGTCTCCCAAAACTTCCGTTATTTTTCATCCTGCTCTTTATCATTTTCATGCAAACTACCCATTTTTCATATGGATTTTGTGCCTATGCCTAATGTAAGTTTTTTTCAGATTTTTGTGTGCCTTTTTTACACAACTAGAGTAGTTTCACTCACGCCTATTTGGTACTTTCTAGCAAGTAGTGATTTTTAACGAGAATCTACGCTCTATACTTTTCTTCGTACTTAAATTTTCTTTTTCTCTTCTAGCTGAATCGTCTTTTGGAGGTGCCAGTAAGTTAAATGTTCACACTAAAAACTAATAAGTGGCGTCATTTGCGTTTCATTTTAACTATCCTGTCTCATTTTTTTTGGTTTCCTCTTTATTTTTTGTTCCTTTCAGTCGAAGATCAGTTGTTTTCTTTTTTGAATGCCCATTTCATTACCGTCGAACCGCTGCACCCTTATCTAATTGTACACAATTTCAGAACCGGGATCGTCTCCGAGAAACGTTCAAGTACGACCACTCAGTTCTAGCACGATGGTAATACAATGGGACGAGCCGGAGACGGCGAACGGGCAAGTCACCGTAAGCTCATCGCAATACTTTTGTCGCAACGCAAAAGAGATGATAGCGATCGAGCTTTGTCGTTCGCTAACCTGTCTTTCCGCGTTGCACTCAAAAGCGGGACACTGATGACTTTTCCCGTCGTTGTTAGGGATACAAAGTATACTACACCACCGATGCGCAACAGCCCATGTCCCAGTGGGAATCTCAAGTCGTCGACAACAACCAACTGACGACAATAAGCGAGCTCACCCCTCATACCATCTACACGATTCGCGTCCAGGCGTTCACTTCCGTCGGTCCCGGTCCGCTCAGCGCCCCCGTCCACGTTAAAACACAACAAGGTAGATAGATAACGATGCCTCTTTTAGGTCCTCCCTTTTTATAACTAACCGAACGCAAAAACAAAAGTCACGACCAGAACAAATCCCTGGCTAACACGTTATTAGTGACCCAGTTCTGACACGACGGAGCACTTTTGACGAGCGTAATTAATAGTGTTAGGCGGTCCGGATTTATTTCTCCCCACTACCAAGCGTGATGCGGCCATCAGTGGTCGGTTGTAATCAACCTCTGTTGCTTTAATTGTCAACAAAATTAAAATTATGTTGATAACAACGCGCGTTGCACTGGACTGGGATATGCTTGTAGTGGTTGAAGTCGATTCAAGGTGCTCAGATCTCGGCCGCCTAACCCTAGTAATTAATAATCACTGCCTCGTCTCGGCCCAGGCGTGCCCAGTCAGCCCAGCAACTTGGTGGCGTCGGACATCGGCGAAACCTCGGTCACCCTGGAGTGGAAGAAGCCGACGCACTCCGGCGAGAACATCGTCAACTACGAACTGTACTGGAACGACACGTACGCCAAAGAGAAACACCATCGACGCATTTCGGTTACCGAGACGTACACTCTGACCGGCCTCTACCCGAATACGTTGTACTACGTGTGGTTGGCGGCGAGGTCGCAGCGCGGAGAGGGAGCCACCACGCCGCCAATACCAGTCAGAACCAAACAGTACGGTAAGAGAACCGGCGGTCTGTCTATACCGTTCTTAGGGTGGAATTTTTTTGAAGTACGATTTTTGTGTTGCAACACATGCGTTTGCAAACGACTTCACGTAGTTTTTGGAAATTGGGGGATTTGATTTTTTTGAGGGCGCACCTTCAATTTCGAGCAGTGATTTGAGCGAACGGATGGCGCCGTCGGCGGACGAGAAATTCCTCGACGGCGCGATCCGAGCGCGTCGATTGCATAGCGTAAGAACTAATGATGCATTGTTTTAAAAATGCGATTGAACGGAACTAACGTTCCAGAAGTGTGTAAGTTTACTAAAACTTTTGAATTATAATGGCGTTATGGATGCGTGATGGATGAGTGTCCTTTCTGTGAATTGCATTTGCATGCCCAGTAACTAGTCGTCAGTGGATATTAATTTGTTAATGAGCACTGCACCAAGTAATGCTATGCCGTTCGTTTTTTAATTAACTATGTGCAGTTGAGCACCTTTCACTTTTCATTGTTTGTTTTTTAGTTTTTTGTTTTTATTGTTAATTTCAGTATTATCAGTTCGATTTTGGTTTGAGTTGATTTCACGTGAACCAGGTAGTGAGAATTTTTATTTTAATATCCACTTGTTGTCATTCTTCCTTTTTTTGTTTTTTAATTATTGAGAGCAGAGAATCATTTTACATTACATTAAAAAGTAAAAACCTAGGCTATAAGCTTTTGGCTTAAGTTAACACGCTAACGCCACCGTAGTACCGGGCGCTCCGCCCAGCAACGTTACCGGTGAGGCGGTAAGTCCTACTGCCATCCGAGTCGACTGGGATCCGCCGCCTGCTAACCGCAGCAACGGAAACATAATATACTACAAGCTGCAGTACGTCGAATCAGATAGATCAGATAGCGAAGCTACCGAAGTTAGATTGAACGCTACTAGTTTTGTGCTTGACGAACTAAAAAGGTGGACCACTTACCGCATTTGGGTCCTGGCCGGCACCTCAGTCGGGGACGGACCCAGCTCATTCCCGATCACCGTACGAACCCATGAAGATGGTACGTTTCAGTTTTTGATAACATCTATATGATAAGAACGGTGATAAACGAGAAGAAATTGTTGTTGTTGTTGTTGTTGTTAAAAAAAAAGTGACGGGACGAGAACGGGGCGCCGACTCACGCCGCTTAGTCGAGTCGAGTCGAAACGAATCGAAAGTGACTCATTTTTGTGGTTTAGTATGCGTGCCGGACTCGTCCTCACCTTCTCGATTGTAATAAATGTGTTACCACAGTTGACAGCTGACGAGAGAGGAGTTAGTGTAAAACAGTAAACATATTGTGAATCCGATTGAGAACTACGACGGTCTATCTACAGTGTGGTACCAAGACCCGGCGCAGCTGCAATGCATCTATCTCGAAATTCAGAACGATAATATTTGAGATGATTCCTCTGTACAATCAGAGGCGGTTCTAGCTATATTGCAGCAGCGCCGGGCCTTGCGAGCCCTTACGATCCCTGAAACCTGATCAATTTCTCCTTTTTTTCTTTTTCTGTATATCGATTTTTATTTATAATTTGCAGGGGGTCGCCGCGCCCCCTGGCCTTCTAGTTGTAGTTTTTCACACATTTTTGACATATCCACCGTGATATGTGTGACTTAATACCAATATTTTTTTAACCATTGCAGCCCGCCCAGGATGGATTTTTTGAAGCTGGTTTTGTGAATTTTTGTGATTTTTTGCAGCATTTTTTGAGACCTCACGTGAACCTGAATAGTGTAGTGAACTATAAGCATAAGACAAAAATTAATTTTTAATGTTTTTTCTTCTGTCTACAAAAGCGTTTGCAGGAGCAGTATATAGAGGTTTTTCCGACAGATTTTTTCAATAACTGTTTTTCGGTATTTCTAAAAATTTACTAGTTGATAATTGTGTTTTTGTTTTCGTTCACTTTTTAAAACTGTTTCGTTTTGAATTGTTTCGTTGGAATTTGTTTCGTTCCTTGTTGTTATTGTTTTAGCTACTCACGTTCACATGTAATGATTGCTTACTTGATTTTCATTCGCACAGAGTTGCATTGCAATGGCACATTTTTTGAGTCACAATCGGCACTGTTTTATTTTTTATATAATTATGATGAGTACTTAATTTTTTTAGTTGGTTTCGTGCACCGTTTTCGTAATTTAGTAACACACCACCTAGCATGCTGGTGAATATCCTTCGCCCGCCCTCCGCCGCCCTCCTTTTCCGTCCCCCCTTTCCCTGTCTATCGCTAGGCAGCACCTCACTCTCACAAGTAGGTGACATGCGCACTTTAATATGGCACATTTATATCACATTTCACTGTGTGTAAACTACACTTGCACCATTTTTTGTGTGTGACTGTATGATTGAGACTAACCGAAGGGATTATTAACCGATTAACGCTATAGAATAGCATAGCTAACCGACCGAAAGTCGGGAGTAGAAATCCTTCGAAGCGCGACGAGACGGAATTTCTACTCCGCAAAGCTGCGAATTTTTTTTTTCAAACCGAACTAACGAAAGCGAGCCAACGCAAAAAATATATAAATAAATAAAATTATAAAATAAGATGTTTGCCCATTGTTTTGGCTCGCTTGTCTGATTTTCAGGCACAGCTTGGAATTGTGTCACATTTGAATACCAATACTTAACACACTCGTAGAACGTAGGAAGAATAGTAATGCTATGGGCATGCTATTTTGACATTTACGATATGTCTGGTATTTGCTCTAACGTCCTTAGCCGATTGATTTCTTTTGTTTCTGCATGAAGAGAGAGACGAAAATTCATATACAAAGAGTATTCTCAAAGTGTGTGCAAGTGAGACGACACAATCAACAACTAACATGTGACAGATAGTTGGACACGATTTTTCCGACACCGTTTTTTCTATCTTGCGAAGAATCCACACATCCCTGTAACAATTTTTTTTGACCATCCGGTTTTTTCCCCCGACGATGACGATAGTAATAAGATTTTTGAGAGATTTTTTAATCAATACATGTGTGTGAGTATTTTTTTCTATTTTTCCATGAACCAACCTCCAAGCATTTTTGTAGCGGAGATAGTTTTTTTCTCTGTTATTTTTGTAAGAATACTACATGTTTGAATTTTGATGGATATCATAGTGTTGTAACACTTTTACAATTGCTATTTTTTTTTCTCTGACTTTTTGCATTACTCGGTTCCACAGTTATCAGTGAGTATTTTTCATTGTTGTGTGCTAGTAGTGAGTTTATTTTTTGATTAGTCCAGTAGACTGTTTTTTATGCTTATGATTTGTACGGATCGGAAAACGATCATGTCGGCTCTCCACGTAGGTAACGCGCGACCACCCAAACACATGTTCATTTTCCGATTTTCATTATGTTTTCCTTCAAGCAGCGCCGGGACGAGTATACAATGAAAAACTTTTTTCTATTTTTCCGCTGATAAATGTGTAGATAAAATTCATAGTAGGTTCTTGTGTTCCACATTAATCCGTCTGGATGAGGTAATTATTCAAGGATATTTCGTGTGTTGGTATTCAAATGTTTTAGGAAGTTTTATGGGTTTTTTTGTTGTGTTTTATTTGATTTTTGTTGTGTTTTTACGAAGAATGAATGAGAAAAACAAAATAATCGAACAATTAAAAAATATGAAGTGCCTGCATGCCGTAAACGATAAGTACTTTTCGTGTTCACCGCGGAACTACGTCTTAATAGTCGATAATTCCACAGTTCCCGGCAACCCGCAAGACGTAAAAGTGACCCCAATAAACTCCACCACGATCAAAGTCGAATGGAAGCCGCCCCATCCGAAAGAAAGGAACGGCATTATCTTGGGTTACCACGTCCACGTACAGGAGACGAAAGAAGAAGTATAGTTTTTATCACTATTAGATTAGCAAAAGTCGCCGTCTGCCGGCAATTACCGAAAATATTGCGTTGCCATAAAGCCCAGACGGCGACTCACGAACGATAAATTAACCTCTCGTCATCCCTTCTCTTCCGCACAGGGCAAAAATTTACTCAACGACCCGATGAAGTTCGACGTATTCGGGGACGCCGTCCTCGACCTGAACGTGACCGGCCTCCAGCCGGACACGAGTTACGCCATACAGGTGGCAGCACTGACCAGGAAAGGAGACGGCGATAGGAGCACACCGGTTCACGTGCGCACTCCGGGGGGAGTACCGAACAGACCGGCCCTGACCATAAAGTAAGTTACGATAGAAAGAGAACCTTCCGACAGCGATTTTGTTCAAGGGTCATCGAACGAGAGCCGACCGTCACGATAGAGCTGGAGTGGACCAGGCCGTCGGCGACGTACGGCGAGCTGAAAGGGTACAGATTACGGTACGGCGTCAAAGACCACGAACTCAAGGACGTCAATCTCAAGGGTAATAAATCTCGATTTCGAATCATTCCTTCGTTATATAGCGTCTTTTAGGCACCCACACCAACACGTACCGCATCAACGATTTGGAGCGCGGCGTCGAGTACGAATTCCGCGTCGCCGGACAGAACCACATCGGAATCGGACAGGAGGCCATCAAGTACTTGCACACGCCCGAAGGTCCGCCGACGGGAGCGCCCGTCAACATCACGTCCCGCTTCCAGACCCCGGACGTGGTGTGCGTCACGTGGGGTCCTCCTTCTCGCGAGCACCGCAACGGACAGATCATCAAGTACGACATCCAGTTCCACAAGAAGTCGGATCATAGTAACGTTATCACGCGCAACGTTTCGACTACGAAAGCCGTCTTCACGAATCTGGAGGAGAACACGGAGTACGTTTTTCACGTGAAAGCGTACACGCTGCAAGGCGCCGGTCCGGTTAGCGAGAAATACACGATCACGACCGATCGGGACATCGGTCGGGCGCCCATGTCGGTGAAGGCGGTAGCCACGTCCGACTCCAGCGTGGAGGTGTGGTGGGAACCGGTACCGTCGCGAGGGAAAATCGTCGGCTACCAGATCTTCTACACGATGACGGCGGTCGAGGATCTGGACGAGTGGCAGCAGAAATCGGTGGAACTGACGGAATCAGCTGATTTGGTGAACTTGGAGAAGTACGCGCAGTACGCGGTGGCGGTGGCAGCTAGGATGAAGAACGGGTTAGGAAGATTGTCGGAGAAGGTCACCGTCAAGGTGAAACCGGAGGACGTGCCGTTGAATCTGCGGGCGCACGAGGTGTCCACGCATTCCATGACGCTGACGTGGTCGCCGCCGATCCGGCTCAACCCGATCAAGTACAAGATCTCGTTCGACGCGATTAAGGAATTCGTGGATTCGCAAGGGATCACCCAGACGCAGAAGATCGAACGATCGGAAATTCTGTTAGGGGACGATATTCGGACGTATACGATCAACAATTTGTCGCCGTTTACGACGTACAACGTGAACGTGAGTGCGATTCCGACGGATTATTCGTACCGGCCGCCTACGAAGATTACGGTGACTACGCAGATGGCGGCACCACAACCTATGGTCAAGCCGGACTTTTACGGGGTTGTCAACGGGGAAGAGATTCACGTGATTTTGCCTCAAGCGTCGGAGGAGTACGGTCCCATCAGCCACTACTATTTGGTGGTGGTACCGGAAGACAAGACGCAAGCGAACAAGAATCCCGATCAGTTCTTGACGGGTACCCTAATCGAGAACAAAGAGAAGGCTTTGACCAATCCGAATTTGCCCTACATCGCCGCCAAGTTTCCACAGAGGAACATCCCCTACACTTTCCATCTCGGAACGGGCGAAGACAACGACGGTTTTACCAACTTCAAGCTACAAAGGGGACGCAGGTATCGCATTTTCGTGCGAGCGGTAGTGGACACTCCGCAAAAGCACCTGTACACCAGCAGCCCGTTTTCGGAGTACTTGTCGCTCGACATGAGAGAAGTACCGCCCGGGGATCCCCCGCTACGGCCAAACCCCAACGTTCCCACCGACAACGACGTCAAAGTAAGCTCGCACCGCAAAGAAGCCGGAGTCCTGTGGATAATCGGGCCCATCATAGCCGCCTTGCTCCTATCTCTGATTTTCGTGATCGTTTTCATATACAGGAAGAGGAGGCAGCCTTGTAAGACCCCGGACCAAGCGGCGGTCACCCGTCCCCTCATCCCCGCCGACTTGAACAGCAGCATAGCTCCGAGCGATCCCGTGGAGATGAGGCGCTTGAATTTCCAGACGCCCGCGATGATCTCGCATCCCCCGATCCCGATCCTCGAACTGGCCAATCACATCGAACGGCTCAAGGCCAACGACAATCTCAAGTTTTCGCAAGAGTACGAGAGCATAGAGCCCGGCCAGCAGTTCACGTGGGATCACTCCAACATGGACGTGAACAAGCCGAAGAATCGCTACGCAAACGTGATCGCGTACGACCACAGTCGCGTGATCTTGCCGCCCGAAGAGGGCATCCTAGGTAATAATTACAAAAACGGTGTTGTCAGTGATAGCATTGAGAATTTTTGTCGTACAGGTAGCGACTACATCAACGCCAACTACTGCGACGGCTATCGCAAACACAACGCTTACGTCGCCACACAGGGACCCCTCCAGGAGACGTTCGCCGATTTCTGGCGCATGTGCTGGGAGCTGAAGACCGCGACTATCGTCATGATGACCAAGTTGGAGGAGCGCACGAGGATAAAGTGCGATCAGTACTGGCCGACGCGCGGCTCGGAGACCTACGGCAGCATGTCCGTGTCGATAACGGACGTGCAGGAGCTCGCCACCTACTGCATCCGCACCTTCCAGATCCATAAACAAGGGTTCACCGAACGACGAGAGGTCAAGCAGTTGCAGTTCACGGCGTGGCCCGACCACGGAGTGCCCGACCACCCGGCTCCGTTCCTCCAGTTCCTGAGGCGCGTCCGCAGCTTGAACCCGGCGGACTCGGGGCCGATCGTGGTGCACTGCTCGGCGGGCGTCGGTCGCACGGGCTGTTTCATCGTCATCGACTCGATGTTGGAACGGATGCGGCACGAGAAGACGGTGGACATCTACGGACACGTGACGTGCCTGCGGGCCCAGAGGAACTACATGGTGCAGACCGAGGATCAGTACATTTTCATACACGACGCGCTGTTGGAGGCGGTGATTTGCGGCCAGACGGAGGTGCCAGCGAGGAACCTGCAGTCGCACATTCAGAAGCTGATGCAGCTGGAGCCTGGAGAGAACGTGACGGGGATGGAGCACGAGTTCAAGAAACTGGGCAACATTAAGACTGATTCGTCGCGGTTCGTGACGGCGAATTTGCCGTGCAATAAACACAAGAATAGGTTGGTGCATATCTTGCCGTACGAGAGTACGAGGGTTTGTTTGACGCCGATGCGGGGGATCGAGGGCTCGGATTATATCAACGCCAGTTTTATCGACGGATATCGGTATAGGAAGGCGTACATCGCGACTCAAGGGCCTCTGGTGGACACCACCGACGATCTGTGGAGGATGCTGTGGGAGCACAACTCGACGATCATCGTCATGTTGACGAAGCTGAAGGAGATGGGAAGGGTGAGTGATGCTCGGTATGAAACTGTGAAAACCTCAACGATTTTTTTTTTTTTTAGGAGAAATGTCATCAGTACTGGCCTAGTGATCGCTCAGTGCGCTACCAGTGCTTCGTAGTCGACCCCATAGCCGAGTACAACATGCCTCAGTACATCCTGCGCGAGTTCAAAGTCACGGACGCCCGAGAGGGGTCGTCGCGGACGGTCAGACAATTCCAGTTCACCGATTGGCCAGAGCAAGGCGTACCGAAGTACGGAGACGGCTTTATCGATTTCATCGGTCAGGTACACAAGACTAAGGAGCAGTTCGGCCAAGACGGACCAATCACGGTGCACTGCAGGTAGGTAAACTGAGCGTAAACTAGGAAAGTATTATAATATAGACCATCCGCGAAAGTAGTTATATAGTGGGGCTTCTGTAAATATAGTCAGGTTGGCCGAGCGATTCTTGGAAAAAATCGTGGGTTCGAATCCCACACCTGGCCGTTTTTTTCTCCTCTGCGTTTAAATTCGATTTTGTCTAATTATCGTTTAACGCGTTTCAGCGCGGGCGTCGGCAGAACTGGCGTGTTTATCACGCTGAGCATAGCTCTAGAGAGGATGCAGTACGAAGGCGTCGTCGATATTTTCCAAACTGCGCGGATTTTGCGTACGCAGAGACCGGCCATGGTCCAAACGGAGGTGAGTATTCTGGACGAGCCTACCGAGGGTGATGGTTGCTTTGTGCAGGATCAGTACCAGTTTTGCTACCGGGCGGCTCTGGAATACCTGGGCTCTTTCGACCACTACACCAACTGATGGTCGTGTTAAACCGAGCTGTTCGTTCTACTGCCAAATCGAACGTTTGGAGCAAGTTGCGTTCTCATTTAAAACCAAATAGTGAATTTCAAATTAAATCAGAAAATAGTGTGCAAATGTGTGTAAACTATGTGCCTAACATATATGTTGGAAGATATAAAATACAAGAAAAATCCTGTATAGTTTGCTCTGTGCACAACACGTGGACTCATGACAAAGACTAGTAGAAGAAATTTTGTATCATATATCGTGCAATTTTCATACCTATCGAGATTACGTTCGACTGTACCTCTTCGTTCTGTTGAATTTTTGATGTTGTAATCATCTTTTTTGTACATTTTAGGTGAGATGTAACTCGACTACGTATATGTTGTAAGACTCTAGGGCATGTTCATTTAGAGTTTTTGAAAATGTTCATATCATTTTTCTGTAATCGTAACCATTGCAGCTACATTTTATGAGCAGCCATCCTGAGAAAATTTTTACTTAATTTTTTTTGTCCACATCTTTGAATCTCATTATTTTAGGATCTCCTCTTTATGAGTTTTTATATCTATTTACAACCATATGTTATATCTATTTTTTATGTATTTTAATGTGTAATACTCAATAGATTTCTAAAAATGTATCTACGTACATACATTAGGTTATAAACGTTGTTTATATTCATTATTTGCGACAAGTTGTTTATATTTTGTAATAAATCATGACCGTTGTAGCACAGGAATGAATGAAATGAGATTTTGATGAAAATAAAGTTCTAGATTTTAGATTTGTTAATACTTATCTTCGCAAAACTACCGACGCACGTTTCAGTGACGCAACGTTTATTACCCCATTCTTTTTTTAAATTTAGTTGGGCATAGATAGTACCAATGTGGTTTGCAGAACGCATCGAGAATTTTTCAGTTTTCAGTGTTATGGGGTAATCGTTATAGTGTTATAAAAACAACAAAAGTAATAAGACGAATATATTTAAAAAATGCAGATTTTACGTTCAATATCTGATGTATGCATACAAAAGCGGTCCCTGAAATTCTGTAAAATACTTCAAAAACCAGACACAAGGAATTCTCGAGATTCTTTCAAACTACTTCAAACACCAGGCATAAGTTGTCTCCAAGAAGCCTTCAAACTACTTCAAAAACAACAAAAGTAATCTCCCAATTTCGTTCCAACTACTTCAAAAAACCGGCACAAAGAATCTCCAAGATTTTTTCAAATTACTTCAAAAATTAAGTTTATAAAGACACAAATTGAAGAGGAGAAAAATTGAAAAATGAGTGGAAAACTGAAATATCCAAAAACTGAGAAATCAAAAAAGTGAAGCCGAAAAATCAAAAGCTTAAAAAATCGAGACACTGAAAAATCAAAAACCTAAAAAACTGAAAAATTGAAAAACTGAGATTCTATAAAAGTCAGATTTGAAAAACTGAAAAATCATAAAATTGAAAAGAAAAATTGGAAAAACGAAAAATAGAAAAGCAAAATCTAAAACTGGGAACTCGAAAAATCCAAAAATTAAGAAATCGAAACATTTGAAAAATTCAAAAACAGGAAAAATTGAAAAATTAAAATATAAAAAAAATTTAAAAATCTAAAATTTAAAAATCGAAAAATCGAAATATTGAAAAATCCCAAAACCAAATTTCCAAAAACTGAGAATCTAAAAAATTGAAAAAATCAAAAAAATGAAAAATTGAAGAATTGGAAACAGAACAAGGAAATGGAAAATCAAATCTTCAATTTATTGAAAATTCGAATAATTGAGTGTTTAGAAAAGTAAAAAATTTAAAAATTGTAAAATCGAAAAATTATAGAGGAAAAAAATTGAAAAAAATGTAAAACTGGAAATAGGAAAATTGGAAATCGAGAAATTGAAAAATCGAAAAATTGAATAAAAAATATGTACCTAATCAGAAAATTCCCAAAACTGAAATTTCGAAAAATTCAAAAATGAGTGAAAAACTGAAGAATGGAAAAACTGAAATATCCAAAAACTGAGAAATTAAAAAATTGAAGAATTGAGAAATCAAAAAAGTGAAGCCCAAAAATCAAAAGCTTAAAAAATTGAGAAACTGAAAAATCAAAAACCTAGAAAACTGAAAAATTGAAAAACTGAGATTCTATAAAAGTCAGATTTGAAAAACTGAAAAATCGTAAAATTGAAAAGAAAAATTGGAAAAACGAAAAATTGAAAAGCAAAATCTAAAACTGGGAACTCGAAAAATCCAAAAATTAAGAAATCGAAACATTTGAAAAATTCAAAAACAGGAAAAATTGAAAAATTAAAATAAAAAAAATTGAAAAATCTAAAATATAAAAATCGAAAAATCGAAATATTGAAAAATCCCAAAACCAAATATCCAAAAACTGAGAATCTAAAAAATTGAAAAAATCAAAAAAATTAAAAATCGAAAAATTGAAGAATTGGAAACAGTCGAAAGTCAAGAAAACGGAAAATCAAATCTTCAATTTATTGAAAATTCGAAAAATTGAGTATTTAGAAAAGTCAAAAATTTGAAAATTGTAAAATCAAAAAATTGAAGAGGAAAAAAATTGAAAAAAATGTAAAACTGAAAATAGGAAAATTGGAAATCGAGAAATTGAAAAATCGAAAAATTGAATAAAAAATATGTACCTAATCAGAAAATTCCCAAAACTGAAATTTCGAAAAATTGAAAAATGAATGAAAAACTGAAGAATGGAAAAGCTAAAACATCCAAAAACTGAGAAATTAAAAAATTGAAGAATTGAGAAATCAAAAAAGCGAAGCCGAAAAATCAAAAGCTTAAAAAATTGAGAAACTGAAAAATCGAAAAACCTAGAAAACAGAAAAATTGAAAAACTGATATTCTACAAAAGCCAAATTTGAAAAGCTGAAAAATCGTAAAATTGAAGAGAAAAATTGAAAAATCGAAAAATTGAGAGTTTATAAAAGTCAAAAATTGAAAAATAGAAATATTTAAACATCGTAAAATCGACGAAGAGAAAAACTGAAAAAAGGTAGAACTGAAAAATCCCAAAAGTAAGATTTCGAAAAATTGAGAATTCGAAAGTTGAAAAAGCAAGAAATCGAAAAATCTACTCAGGTAAACCAGCTGTCAAGCGCTTTGAAATGTAAACTTTGTCATTCGGGAACGTTATGTATTAAATCGTTACGATGTTCAAATACTTTTTTATAGAAATCGACTTCGCAGAATCTTTAGTGACACTTCTACGACAGTCAAACATTTTGCTCTTATTTTTACATTGAAAGCCTTTTAAGCTTGTTGCTTTATTGCTAAAAAATTAAATTAAAAAATAATTAAAAATTCATGCAAAGTAGATCCTAGCGTTTCCAAAAGATAAAAATAACTACACTTTTCCACAAAGAATTATTTCTTAATTAAAGAAAAAATAGTTGCATGTCAATAATTAATACATATACCTACCAAAATGTTCACTTATTCGTTGTAAAGTCCGACCAAGCGGTTAGATTGTGTATCAGATCACGCAACATGATAGAGTCGACATTGGCCTGAGTGCGTTCTGGTCTGTAGATCAAACAAGTTCTCCGGCCACAGTATACCAAACTGTCGGTGCAAGTTTGGATCAAAGATTTCTTTAACAATTTTTTTCGAATTCTTCAGAGCCTTTCTTAATAACGCACCATCCAGCTTTTCCGTCACTCTTGGATCACCCGATATAAATATTTAGAAATCACTTAGGAAAAGCATAAAATAGTGAGCCATACAGGGTGACCTAAGGACCAATAAATCTCGTATCAAAGAAGTCAGCGAAAAGTGGTCATTCCAAAGTTTACGCTCACAATTAGGGTACGCCCTATGCTTAGCACTATTAGTTGCGCTCAATGTAGGCAACCAAGTATACACGCAATTTAAGTCCCACGAGTTCCAAAGTTCCACGTTTAGGAATATGTTTGTAATGGGGTGCAGAGCGCAGAAAGTGTTTTGCAAACCGATCTATAAATTTTCAAAAAATAAACGGGTTTCCAAACGACTGACGGATAGATTTCGGCAAATTTAATGATCGCGGTGGCTATGGACCGCCATTATATTTTATTAATACACTATTCAGGCTCTGTTTTCTTCAGCAATACTGTGTAAGTTGTTCATACAGCAATAATTATTAAAAAATAAATAACTGATTTACCTTTTCAACAGAGAACCACATAAACCGCACCAAACACTCTCCAAAATGCACTCCCCTTATAGTCACCACCACTCACCAATTCTTCGAATAAAATTGAGGAAAATCAGGTCAATCGACACATTTTACAAAACAGGAAGCATAAGTTTATCATTGCACGTTGTTTTCTCACAAAGAATTCAAAAAATCGAAAATAATTCACAATCTTCAATGCCCATTCGAAAGTTTCGCGAACAACGAACAAACTAATGTCACTTACTGCCAACGCAACAAACGTGAAAAATGAAAGTCACCAAATGAGTAACACACCTTTTAATCTTGTTTTTAATTTAATAGTTCATCGTTGATAATTGCCAGAACACCAAAAGCTGAATCCAAATGGGTTTAAAGACGTCTCTGACGTAACCGAAAACGAATTCGTCATAAGAGAGATTTTGCATAGCGTGAGCGTATTTTGAGTTGTCGTACGCTATTTAAAAGACATAATTCAACATCCGTCTAGTTCCTTAGCATTAAGAAAATCAGTTGTATTCAATCTGCGATGGGTTAAAAGTTTTTTTAACCATTCTTAGTATCATTATTAACATTTTTTGAATAAGATTTGTCAAGAAAATTCTTTAATCATTTTAGAGCAAAACTGCAAACTTTTCAAACATGCATTATTGTAAATATTTTCTATTGCGAAACGCAATGAAAACTGTCTGACATACGACAAAAATGTATGAAATGAGGCTGCTGTAGCATTTGTTGTTGCCCCTGTACGACGTACAGTCGTGACGTTTTGCAAAAACTCTATTAAAGTTGGTTCGCTTTTTTATCACGCTTTTATTAGCTTGGGTTGTATGTATGTAACGGAATCTTTGAGCTTAATTTTCATCGGTTTCTAAAAGTCTGATCATCTTGAAACTTTGCACACGTCTCAAGGATCGATGACAATGCAATAATTTGATAACAGTTTCCCATTATCCTTATTAGGACCGCCAGGATCCTCGATCCTACGGAGACCACTGAGTGGTTCTTTCTAGAAAAATCTAAATAAGTAATTAATTCCCCAATTTATGAATTTGTCGCAGACTAAAAAATGAAAAATAAATAATAGTTTAAAAAACTAAAAAAACACGCTTTTATTGCTAATCGAACTAAAAACTAGAAAATAATTTTTAATGACAGAATTTAATATTACAGTAGTAGAAGATCAAACAATCAATCATAGTAAATCACCTCAAATTAAAATTATAATAAAATTTAAGTTATTAACAGAATAATTCAATTCAGAGTAAAAAGCGTGGGGTGCATTTTACTGCGGTTCATAACTATCCTCTCATAGATAGTTGCCAATAGAATGATTGTAATATTTAAAATATCAAGCACCCTACGCTTTTTACTCTGAATTGAATTATTCTGTTAATAACTTAAATTTTATTATAATTTTAATTTGAGGTGATTTATTATGATTGATTGTTTGATCTTCTACTACTGTAATATTAAATTCTGTCATTAAAAATTATTTTCTAGTTTTTAGTTCGATTAGCAATAAAAGCGTGTTTTTTTAGTTTTTTAAACTATTATTTATTCGCTTTACGTTGATAGCCATATCTGTAATTCCTGTCCTTGTCATTTGCAAGTCACAAAATTAAGTACAGAAGTAATAACAATGGTTTCAATACAACCTGAAGAAAAGAACAGAATTCTATATATCTACGACGGTCAAATGTACAAAAAGCCCCCAGAACCCGGAACAAGCCAAATCCTTGAGTTGGAGCAAATATCAGGTACGACGTTCACGTTTTTGCAGTTTTCACTATTTAATAATTCCGCAGATCTCAAAGAGCACGAAAACAATACAGTACAGCTTTATCTACCAGAAGAAAAACTCACCGACTGTGTCCTAAACCGAGTTTTCTCAACAAGCAAACTTGGAGGTAAAGTCATTGCCAATTATAACGACAAAAATGTGAATGATGTTGAATTTAATCTAAAACTGGCGGGTTTTGTTGGTGTGAAAGTGGAGAAAACAGGAAAGATCAGAAGAGTGTCTGGTTTTAAACCAGCAAACTTGGACTTGATTGAAATTTGCGCTGGACTACAGAAACGCAAACATGGAGACTGGATAAAATTTAACGTGACTGATAAGGAAGAGCCTGATCAGATACTTGATCCGGATGAGTTGCTTGATGAGGAAGATTTTAAGCAGCCTGAATCAGCGGCACTGCGTAAGTGTTTGACTTTGACACTGTGTGGTGGTTAGGTTGTATTTTTTTTTTAGAGTGTGGCACCACTGAAAAGCCTAAAGCTTGCACTTATGGGCTTGCTGAAGAGGTGACAAAGGAAGAGCAGGAATTACCCCCCTTGAATGTGTTAACATGTGGCAACGTAAGGGTATTTGAAATGTGATAGAGGGGTGTTTTTTAAAATTTTATTTGTAGTGTAATAAGGAGGATGAATTTCGGTGCGCTAGTTGTCCTTACAGGGGGTTGTCAGCTTTTAAGGTTGGCGAAAGAATTCAGTTGATTGGTAATCTACGAGAGCAAGATAATTAGATAAGTTGGGTACTGGTTTACTTTGTTTATTTTGTTTATTAAATTTGCATTCACATGGAGTTGGTGTTTTTGTAAAAAAAATTTGGTTGGCAATTCTAAGTTGTTGGCAGTTCACAGTTTGAACTTTGACAGATGGATCATAACCAATGAAAAACTGTCCAAAATTTGAATTGTTGCGAACGTGACAAAAAAAATCACATCATCGCTTCAAACTACTTCAAAAACAACAAAAGTAATTTCCCAATTTCGTTCCAACTACTTCAAAAAACAGCCACAAAGAATCTCCAAGATTTTTTTCAAACTACTTTCAAATTGCTTCCGTAACACTGAGAAAAAAAATGAAAATTTAAATACATAATCGAAAATTTGAAAAATCGAGAAATGTAAAAATTGAAAACCAAGACGTCAAGAAATCGAGAAACAAAAAACTCGAAAAATCGTAAAATTTAAAAAATCGAAAAATTTAAAAACCGAAAAACAAAAAATCCAGAAATCGAAACTCCAATATTTAAAAAATCAAGAAATTTATAAATCGGGTAATTGAAAAATCGAAACATCGAAAAACTATAAAATGGAAAACCGAAAATCCAAAAAGTAAAAAATCGAAAAACCGAGTAATCCGAAAATCAAAAAGGTAAAAATTGAAAAATTGATGGATCGAGAAATTGAATAATCAAAAATCAATCGAAAAGTTATTCATTTAAAAACTGAAAAATCGAGAAACTGAACAATCAAAATAGCGAAACATCCATAGCTCGATAAATCGAGAAGTCAAAACATTGAAAAATAGAACAATTTTAAAAATGAAAAATTTAAAATTCGAAAATTTGAAAAAACGAAAAATTGAAAAACAAAATCCAAAACTGGAAAGTCGAAAAGTCGAAAGATTAAGAAACAGAAACATTTGAGAAATTCGAAAACAGGAACAATAATATCGAAGAACTGAAATGAAAAATCGAGACATCGAAAAATCTACAATTTTAAAAATTGAAAAAGTAAAATATATCGAACAATTGAAGAATTGGAAAATTGAAACAGTCGAAAGTCAAGAAAAGGGAAACTCAAATCTTCGATTTATTGGAAAATCGAAAAATTGAGTATTTAGAAAAGTCAAAAATTGAAAAATTGCAAAATCTAAATATTTAAAAATCGAAAAATCGAATAAAAAATATGTAATCGGAAAAATCCCAAAACTGAAATTTCGAAAAACTGAAAAATGAATGAAAAACTGAAGAATGGAAAAACTGAAATATCCAAAAACTGAGAAATTAATAGATTGAATAATTGAGAAATCAAAAAAGTGAAGCCGAAAAATCAAAAGCTTAAAAAATTCAGAAACTGGAAAATCTAAAACCTAAAAAACTGAAAAATCGTAAAATTGAAGAGAAAAATTGGAAAAACGTTAAGATTGGAAATAGGAAAACTGAGAAATGGAAAAATTGAAAATCGTGAAATTCAAAAATTAAGAAATTGTAAAATCGAAAAATTGAATAATAAATAAACTGAAAAATCCAAAAACTGAAATTTCTAAAAATTGAAAAATGAAAGAAAAACTGAAAACTCCCAAAACTGAAACATGCAAGAACTGAAATTAAAAAATTGAAAAATTGAAAAATCGAAATAGTAGAAAGTCAACAAATGGGTAAATCAAAACATCGATTAATTGCAAAATCGAAAAATTGAATAAAGAAAATGAAATCAGAAGAATCCCAAAACTGAAATTTCGAAAAATTGAAAAATGAATGAAAAACTGAAGAATGGAAAAACTGAAATATCCAAAAACTGAGAAATTAAAAAATTGAAAAATTTAGAAATCAAAAAGCGAAGCCGAAAAATCAAAAGCATAAAAAATTCAGAAACTGAAAAATCAAAAACCTAAAAAACTGAAAAATTGAAAAACTGATATTCTACAAAAGCCAAATTTGAAAAGCTGAAAAATCGTGAAATTGAAGAGAAAAATTGGAAAAACGTTAAGATTGGGAATAGGAAAACTGAAAAATGGAAAAATTGAAAATCGTGAAATTCAAAAATTAAGAAATTGTAAAATCGAAAAATTGAATAATAAATAAACTGAAAAATCCAAAAACTGAAATTTCTAAAAATTGAAAAATGAAAGAAAAACTGAAAACTCCCAAAACTGAAACATGCAAGAACTGAAATTAAAAAATTGAAAAATTGAAAAATCGAAATAGTGGAAAGTCAACAAATGGGAAAATCAAAACATCGATTAATTGCAAAATCGAAAAATTGAATAAAGAAAATGTAATCAGAAGATTACCAAAACTAAAATTTCGAAAAATTGAAAAATGAATGAAAAACTGAAGAATAGAAAAACTGAAATATCCAAAAATTGAGAAATTAAAAAATTGAAAAATTTAGAAATCAAAATAGCGAAGCCGAAAATCAAAAGCATAAAAAATTCAGAAACTGAAAAATCAAAAACCTAAAAAACTGAAAAATTGAAAAACTGATATTCTACAATAGCCAAATTTGAAAAGCTGAAAAATCGTAAAATTGAAGAGAAAAATTGGAAAAACGTTAATATTGGAAATAGGAAAATTGAGAAATGAAAAAATTGAAAATCGTGAAATTCAAAAATTAAGAAATTTTGAAAAACCAAAAATTGAATAATAAATAAACTGAAAAATCCCAAACCTGAAATTTCGAAAAATTGCAAAATTAAAAATCGAAATAGTCGAAATTCAACAAATGGCAAGATCAAAACATAGATTAATTGAAAAATCGAAAAATTGAAGAAAAAATATGTAATCAGAAAAATCCCAAAACTGAAATTTCGAAAAATTGAAACATGAATGAAAAACTAATCAATGGAAAAACTGAAATATCCAAAAACTGAGAAATTAAAAAACTGAGAAATCAAAAAAGTGAAGCCGAAAAATCAAAAGCTTAAAAAACTGAGAAACTGAAAAATCAAAAACCTAAAAAATGGAAAAATTGAAAAACTGAGATTCTATAAAAGTCAAATTTGAAAAACTGAAAAATCGTAAAATTGAAGAGCAACATTGGAAAAACGTAAGTTTAAAAATGAGAAAATTGAGAAATGGAAAAATTAAGAAGTTGTAAAATCAAATGTGAATAATAAATAAACGAAAAAATCCCAAAACTGAAATTTCGAAAAATTGAAAAGTCCAAATAGTGGAAAGTCAACAAATGGGAAAATCAAAACATGGATTAATTGAAAAATCCAAATATTTAAAAATCGTAAAATTGAAAAAACGTAAGACTGAAAAATTATAAAATCCAAAAATTGCATAATAAATAAACTGAAAAATCCCAAAAGTAAGATTTCGAAAAATTGAGAGTTCGAAAGTTGAAAAAGCAAGAAATCGAAAAGCCTACTCAGGTAAACCAGCTGTCTGGAGCTTTGAAACGTAAACTTTGTCATTCAGGAACGTTCTGTCAAATCGTTGCGATGTTCATGTACTTTTTTATAGAAATCGACTTCGCAGAATCTTTAGTGGCACTTCTACGACAGTCAAACATTTTGCTCTTATTTTTACATTGAAAGCCTTTTAAGCTTGTTGCTTTATTGCTAAAAAATTAAATTAAAAAATAATTAAAAATTCATGCAAAGTAGATCCTAGCGTTTCCAAAAGATAAAAATAACTACACTTTTCCACAAAGAATTATTTCTTAATTAAAGAAAAAATAATTGCATGTCAATAATTAATACATATACCTACCAAAATGTTCACTTATTCGTTGTAAAGTCCGACCAAGCGGTTAGGTTGTGTATCAGATCACGCAACATGATAGAGTCGACATTGGCCTGAGTGCGTTCTGCTGGTCTGTAGATCAAACAAGTTCTCCGGCCACGGTATACCAAAGTATCGGTGCAAGTTGGGATCAAAGATTTCTTTAACAATTTTTTTCGAATTCTTCAGAGCCTTTCTTAATAACGCACCATCGAGCTTTTCCGTCACTCTTGGATCACCCGATATAAATATTTAGAAATCACTTAGGAAAAGCATAAAATAGTGAGCCATACGGGGTGACCTAAGGACCAATAAATCTCGTATCAAAGAAGTCAGCGAAAAGTGGTCATTCCAAAGTTTACACTCACAATTAGTGTACGCCCTGTGGTTAGCACTATTAGTTGCGCCCAATGTAGGCAACCAAGTATACACGCAATTTAAGTCCCACGAGTTCCAAAGTTCCACGTTTAGGAATATGTTTGTAATGGGGTGCAGGGCGCAGAAAGTGTCATTCAAACCGATCTATAAACTTTCAAAAAATAAACGTAATTCGAAACGACTGACGGATAGATTTCGGCAAATTTAAATAATCGCGGTGGCTGTGGACCGCCATTATATTTTATTAATACACTATTCAGGCTCTGTTATCTTCAACAATACTTTTAAATTGTTCATACAGCTATAATTATTAAAAAATAAATAACTGATTTACCTTTTCAGCAGAGAACCACATAAACCGCACCAAACACTCTCCGAAATGCACTCCCCTTATAGTCACTACCACTCACCAATTCTTCGAATAAAATTGAGGAAAAGTAGGTCAATCGACACATTTTACAAAACAGGAAGCATAAGTTTATCATTGCACGTTGTTTTCTCCCAAAGAATTCAAAAAATTGAAAATAATTCACAATCTTCAATGCCCATTCGAAAGTTTCGCGAACAACGAACAAACTAATGTCACTTACTGCCAACGCAACAAACGTGAAAAATGAAAGTCACCAAATGGGTAACACACCGTTCTTTTAATCTTGTTTTTAATTTAATAGTTCATCGTTGATAATTGCCAGAACACCAAAAGCTGAATCCCAATGGGTTTAAAGACGCCTCTGACGTAACCGAAAACGAATTCGTCATAAGAGAGATTTTGCATAGCGTTTTTTCAAAAGACGTACATATACGCTAACGTGTGGGTTGCTTAGCAACAGCGTATTTTGAGTTGTCGTACGCTATTTAAAAGACATAATTCAACGTACGTCCGTCTAGTTCCTTAGCATTAAGAAAATCAGTTGTATTCAATCTGCGATGGGTTAAAAGTTTTTTTAACCATTCTTAGGATCATTATTAACATTTTTTGAATAAGATTTGTCAGGAAAATTCTTTAATCATTTTAGAGCAAAACTGCAAACTTTTCAAACATGCATTATTGTAAATATTTTCTATTGCGAAACGCAATGAAAACTGTCTGACATACGACAAAAATGTATGAAATGAGGCTGCTGTAGCATTTGTTGTTGCCCCTGTACGTCGTACATTCGTGACGTTTTGCAAAAACTCTCTATTAAGTTGGTTCGCTTTTTTCGCTTTACGTTGATAGCCATATCTGTAATTTCTGTCCTTGTCATTTGCAAGACACAAAAGTACAGAAGTAACAATGGGTGAAAGACAACCTAAAGAAAAGACTCTATATATCTACGACGGTCAAATATACGACGACCCCCCAAAACCCGCAACAAGCCAAATCCTTGAGTTGGAGCAAATATCAGGTATGACGTTCACGTTTTTGCAGTTTTCACTATTTAATAATTCCGCAGATCTCAAAGAGCACGAAAACAATACAGTACAGCTTTATATACCAGAAGAAAAAATCACCGACTGTGTCCTAAACCGAGTTTTCTCAACAAGCAAACTTGGAGGTAAAGTCAACGCCAATTATATCAACGAAAATGTGAATGATGTTGAATTTAATCTAAAACTGGCGGGTTTTGTTGGTGTGGAAGTGGACAAAACAGAAAAATTGATCAGAAGAGCGTCTGGTTTTAAACCAGCAAACTTGGACTTGATTGAAATTTGCGCTGGACTACAGAAACGCAAACATGGAGACTGGATAAAATTTAACGTGACTGATAAGGAAGAGCCTGATCAGATACTTGATCCGGATGAGTTGCTTGATGAGGAAGATTTTAAGCAGCCTGAATCAGCGGCACTGCGTAAGTGTTTGACTTTGACACTGTGTGGTAGTTAGGTTGTAATTTTTTTTTAGAGTGTGGCACCTCTGAAAAGCGTAAAGCTGAAGAGGTGACAATGGAAGAGCAGAAATTACCCCCCTTGAATGTGTTAACATGTGGCAACGTAAGGGTATTGGGAATGTGATAGAGGGGTGTTTTTTAAATTTTTATTTGTAGTGTAATAAGGAGGATGAATTTCGGTGCGCTAGTTGTCCTTACAGGGGGTTGTCAGCTTTTAAGGTTGGCGAAAGAATTCAGTTGATTGGTAATCTACGAGAGCAAGATAATTAGATAAGTTGGGTACTGGTTTACTTTGTTTATTTTGTTTATTAAATTTGTATTGTATTCACATGGAGCTGGTGTTTTTGTAAAAAAAATTTGGTTGGCAATTCTAAGTTGTTGGCAGTTCACAGTTTGAACTTTGACAGATGGATCATAACCAATGAAAAACTGTCCAAAATTTGAATTGTTGCGAACGTGACAAAAAAATCACATCATCGCTTCAAACTACTTCAAAAACAACAAAAGTAATTTCCCAATTTCGTTCCAACTACTTCAAAAAACAGCCACAAAGAATCTCCAAGATTTATTCAAACTACTTTCAAATTGCGTCCGTAACACTGAGAAAAAAAATGAAAAATTAAATACATAATCGAAAATTTGAAAAATCGAAAACCAAGACGTTAAGAAATCGAGAAACAAAAAACTCGTAAAACCGGAAAACTGAAAAATCGAAAAACGTAAAATTTAAAAGATCGAAAAATTCAAAAAACTAAAATTTAAAAACCGAAAAACAAAAAATCCAGAAATCGAAACTCCAATATTTAAAACATCAAAAAATTTAAAAATCGGGTATTTGAAAAATCGAAACATCGAAAATCCAAAAAGTAAAAAATCGAAAAACCGAGTAATCCGAAAATCAAAAATGATAAAAATTGAAAAACTGATGGATCGAGAAATTGAATAATCAAATCAAATCAATCGAAAAGTTATTCATTTAAAAACTGAAAAATCGAGAAACTGAACAATCAAAATAGCGAAACATCCATAGCTCGATAAATCGAGAAGTCAAAACATTGAAAAATAGAACAATTTTAAAAATGAAAAATTTAAAATTCGAAAATTTGAAAAAACGAAAAATTGAAAAACAAAATCTAAAACTGGGAAGTCGAAAAGTCGAAAGATTAAGAAATAGAAACATTTGAGAAATTCGAAAACAGGGAAAATAATATCGAAGAACTGAAATGAAAAATCGAGACATCGTAAAATCTACAATTTTAAAAATTGAAAAAGTAAAATATATCGAACAATTGAAGAATTGGAAAATTGAAACAGTCGAAAGTCAAGAAAAGGGAAACTCAAATCTTCGATTTATTGGAAAATCGAAAAATTGAGTATTTAGAAAAGTCAAAAATTGAAAAATTGTAAAATCTAAATATTTAAAAATCGAATAAAAAATATGTCATCGGAAAAATCCCAAAACTGAAATTTCGAAAAACTGAAAAATGAATGAAAAACTGAAGAATGGAAAAACTGAAATATCCAAAAACTGAGAAATTAATAGATTGAATAATTGAGAAATCAAAAAAGTGAAGCCGAAAAATCAAAAGCTTAAAAAATTCAGAAACTGGAAAATCTAAAACCTAAAAAACTGAAAAATCGTAAAATTGAAGAGAAAAATTGGAAAAACGTAAGATTGAAAATAGGCAAATTGAGAAATGGAAAAATTGAAAATCGTGAAATTCAAAAATTAAGAAATTGTAAAATCGAAAAATTGAATAATAAATAAACTGAAAAATCCAAAAACTGAAATTTCTAAAAATTGAAAAATGAAAGAAAAACTGAAAACTCCCAAAACTGAAACATGCAAGAACTGAAATTAAAAAATTGAAAAATTGAAAAATCGAAATAGTGGAAAGTCAACAAATGGGAAAATCAAAACATCGATTAATTGCAAAATCGAAAAATTGAGTAAAGAAAATGTAACCAGAAGAATCCCAAAACTGAAATTTCAAAAAATTGAAAAATGAATGAAAAACTGAAGAATGGAAAAACTGAAGAATGGAAAAACTGAAGAATAGAAAAACTGAAATATCCAAAAACTGAGAAATTAAAAAATTGAAAAATTTAGAAATCAAAATAGCGAAGCCGAAAATCAAAAGCATAAAAAATTCGGAAACTGAAAAATCAAAAACCTAAAAAACTGAAAAATTGAAAAACTGATATTCTACAAAAGCCAAATTTGAACAGCTGAAAAATCGTGAAATTGAAGAGAAAACTTGGAAAAACGTTAAGATTGGAAATAGGAAAACTGAGAAATGGAAAAATTGAAAATCGTGAAATTCAAAAATTAAGAAATTGTAAAATCGAAAAATTGAATAATAAATAAACTGAAAAATCCAAAAAACTGAAATTTCTAAAAATTGAAAAGTGAAAGAAAAATTGAAAAATCCCAAAACTGAAACATGCAAGAACTGAAATTAAAAAATTGAAAAATTGGAAAATCGAAATAGTGGAAAGTCAACAAATGGGAAAATCAAAACATCGATTAATTGAAAAATCGAAAAATTGAATAAAGAAAATGTAATCAGAAGAATCCCTAAACCGAAAATTTCGAAAAATTGGAAAATGAATGAAAAACTGAAGAATGGAAAAACTGAAATATCCAAAAACTGAGAAATTAAAAAATTGAAAAATTTAGAAATCAAAATAGCGAAGCCGAAAAATCAAAAGCATAAAAAATTCAGAAACTGAAAAAACAAAAACCTAAAAAACTGAAAAACTGAAAAACTGATATTCTACAATGGCCAAATTTGAAAAGCTGAAAAATCGTAAAATTGAAGAGAAAAGTTGGAAAAACGTTAAGATTGGAAATAGGAAAATTGAGAAATGGAAAAACTGAAAATCGTGAAATTCAAAAATTAAGAAATTGTAAAATCGAAAAATTGAACAATAAATAAACTGAAAAATCCCAAAACTAAAATTTCGAAAAATTGAAAAATTAAAAATCGAAATAGTCGAAATTCAACAAATGGGAAGATCAAAACACAGATTAATTGAAAAATCGAAAAATTGAAGAAAAAATATGCAATCAGAAAAATCCCAAAACTGAAATTTCGAAAAACTGAAACATGAATGAAAAACTAATCAATGGAAAAACTGAAATATCCAAAAACTGAGAAATTAAAAAACTGAGAAATCAAAAAAGTGAAGCCGAAAAATCAAAAGCTTAAAAAATTGAGAAACTGAAAAATCAAAAACCTAAAAAATGGAAAAATTGAAAAACTGAGATTCTATAAAAGTCAAATTTGAAAAACTGAAAAATCTTAAAATTGAAGAGCAAAATTGGAAAAACGTAAGTTTGAAAATGAGAAAATTGAGAAATGGAAAAATTAAGAAGTTATAAAATCGAAAATTTGAATAATAAATAAACGGAAAAATCCCAAAACTGAAATTTCGAAATATTGAAAAATTCAAAAATCGAAATAGTGGAAAGTCAACAAATGGGAAAATCAAAACATGGATTAATTGAAAAATCGAAATATTTAAAAATCGTAAAATTGAAAAAACGTAAAACTCAAAAATTATAAAATCCAAAAATTGCATAATAAATAAACTGAAAAATCCCAAAAGTAAGATTTCGAAAAATTGAGAGTTCGAAAGTTGAAAAAGCAAGAAATCGAAAAACCTACTCAGGTAAACCAGCAGTCTGGAGCTTTGAAACGTAAACTTTGTCATTCAGGAACGTTCTGTTAAATCCTTACGATGTTCATGTACTTTTTTATAGAAATCGATTTCGCAGAATCTTTAGTGACACTTCTACGACAGTCAAACATTTTGCTCTTATTTTTACATTAAAAGCCTTTTAAGCTTGTTGCTTTATTGCTAAAAAATTAAATTAAAAAATAATTAAAAATTCATGCAAAGTAGATCCTAGCGTTTCCAAAAGATAAAAATAACTACACTTTTCCACAAAGAATTATTTCTTAATTAAAGAAAAAATAGTTGCATGTCAATAATTAATACATATACCTACCAAAATGTTCACTTATTCGTTGTAAAGTCCGACCAAGCGGTTAGATTGTGTATCAGATCACGCAACATGATAGAGTCGACATTGGCCTGAGTGCGTTCTGGTCTGTAGATCAAACAAGTTCTCCGGCCACGGTATACCAAAGTGTCGGTGCAAATTTGGATCAAAGATTTCTTTAACAATTTTTTTCGAATTCTTCAGAGCCTTTCGTAATAACGCGCCATCGAGCTTTTCCGTCACTCTTGGATCACCCGATATAAATATTTAGAAATCACTTAGGAAAAACATAAAATAGTGAGCCATACAGGGTGACCTAAGGACCAATAAATCTCGTATCAAAGAAGTCAGCGAAAAGTGGTCATTCCAAAGTTTACGCTCACAATTAGTGTACCCCCTATGCTTAGCACTATTAGTTGCGCCCAATGTAGGCAACCAAGTATACATGCAATTTAAAGTCCCACGAGTTCCAAAGTTCCACGTTTAGGAATATGTTTGTAATGGGGTGCAGGGTGCAGAAAGTGTTATTCAAACCGATCTATAAACTTTCAAAAAATAAACGTAATTCCAAACGACTGACGGATAGATTTCGGCAAATTTAAATGATCGCGGTGGCTGTGGACCGCCATTATATTTTATTAATACACTATTCAGGCTCTGTTATCTTCAGCAATACTGTTTAAATTGTTCATACAGCAATAATTATTAAAAAATAAATAACTGATTTACCTTTTCAGCAGAGAACCACATAAACCGCACCAAACACTCTCCGAAATGCACTCCCCTTATAGTCACCACCACTCACCAAATCTTCGAATAAAATTGAGGAAAATTAGGTCAATCGACACATTTTACAAAACAGGAAGCATAAGTTTATCATTGCACGTTGTTTTCTCGCAAAGAATTCAAAAAATCGAAAATAATTCACAATCTTCAATGCCCATTCGAAAGTTTCGCGAACAACGAACAAACTAATGTCTCTTACTGCCAACGCAACAAACGTGAAAAATGAAAGTCACCAAATGAGTAACACACCGTTCTTTTATTCTTGTTGTTAATTTAATAGTTCATCGTTGATAATTGCCAGAACTCCAAAAGCTGAATCCCAATGGGTTTAAAGACGCCTCGGACGTAACCGAAAACGAATTCGTCATAAAGTTGGTTCGCTTTTTTCGCTTTACGTTGGTAGCCATTTCTGTCATTCCTGTCATTGTCATTTGCAAGTCACAAAATTAAGTAAAGAAGTAATAACAATGGATGCAGTACAACCTGAAGAAAAGAAGAGAATTCTAATTATCTACGACGAAATCTACGATGAGCCCCCAATCAGCGAATCCCTTGAGTTGAAGCAAATATCAGGTATGACGTTCACGTTTTTGCATTTTTCACAATTTAATAATTCCGCAGATCTCAAAGCGCACGAAAACGAAACAGTATTGCTTCGTATACCAGAAGAAAAACTCACCGACTCTGTCCTAAAGCGAGTTTTCTCAACAAGCAAACTCGGAGGTAAAGTCGTTGCCACTTGTATCGAAAAAGGTGTGGATGATGTTGTATTTAATCTAAAACTGGCGGGTTTTGTTAATGTGGAAGTGAAGACAACAATAACGGGCACACATGTGTCTGGTTTTAAACCAACATATGAGACTGGAAGTTGCGCTGGACTACAGAAACGCAAACATGGAAACTGGATAAAACTTAATGTGACCGATAAGGAAGAGCCTGATGAGATGCTTGATCCAGATGATTTGCTTGATGAGGAAGATTTTAAGAAGCCTGAAGCAGCGGCACTGCGTAGGTGTTTAACTTTGACACTGTGGTGGTTAAGTTGTAATTTTTTTTTTAGAGTGTGGCACCACTGAGAAGCGTAAAGCTTGCAAGAATTGCACTTGTGGGCTTGCGGAAGAGGTGACAAAGGCAGTGGAGAAATTACCCCATGTGACACAGTCATCATGTGGCAATGTAAGGGTATTTGGAATGTGATAGAGGGCTGTTTTTTTAATTTTGTATTTGTAGTGTTATCTGGGGGATGCATTTCGGTGCGCTAGTTGTCCTTACATGGGGTTGCCAGCTTTTAAGGCTGGCGAAAGAATTCAGTTGGTTGGTAATCTACTAGAGGCAGATATTTAGATAAGTTGGGTACTTGTTTATTAAATTTGTATTGATATGGATTTGGTGTTTTTGTAAAATTTTTTGGTTAGAAATTCTAAGTTGTTGGCAGCAATGTTAGTTCACAGTTGTCAACTTTGACAGAATGAAAAGCTGTCCAAAACTTGAATTGTCACCAACCTGACAAAAAAACCACATTAATAGTCACGCGGTAGAGTCAAAATTTTGACTTATTCTTGAAAAATCCGCTTATAATATGTTTTGGCAACAGCAGAAATAAAAGTACACCCACGAAGGCAATATTTAATTGATTCACATCTCCATTAATATGTATAAATATTCTATGCATAATAAAAGCATCAAATAAATTAATTAATGTAAAATATCACGAGAAACATAAGACCAGTTGAGGATCTTCACTTTCCACCACACATAGAAGGTTTATTCACAGAAGTCTGTGGTTCGAGGTCTTCCTAATTTAAGTTCAACGAGAGCGTCGAGTTTGTTCAGACCCACACCGTTGCCTTGCTCGTGGTGTGATAAGTTCTTGCAGGTCCTATACCATGTGGACAGGTTGGGATACTTCTGTGTTGCTATGGGCGTGATGATGGTGGCTGTACTGACTGTTGCGACGCAACACAAGTCAGCCACCGTTAGACTTGGACCGATTAAGTAGTTCTTGTCTCGAAGAAACTTATCTAAAAATTTGTAGGATTCTGTAATTACACTTATATGTTTTGTCCATTTTGTTTCTCGTTTTCCACGATTATGGAATTCTGGAATGACAAAAAAGACTTTAGAGGAGCTCACATTATAGTAGTGAAAATGTAACTCGTTTAAATTATAATCAAAATTCATTAACGGTGACGAAATCGTAAAAAGATTAACGTTTTGCGATGACGTCATCAGTTTTCAGGAACGAATGAATAAACGAATTTTGCTTAATATTCTATAGCTTAACTTAAATTCGAATTTGCGAAATGCAATTTCGGGAAGACATGCAAATGGGGAATTATACAGACAATATGCCGGATTCGAGGGGGGGGGGGGGGGGGGCGTTTTTGCAAAGGGGAGTGGCGTGACGCACGTGCAGGGAATTTTCGCGATAATGAGATGTTTACTTTTTTCAAGATGAGTCGAACAGCGATTTCGGAAGATTTTTTTATAGTTGCTTCCAGAATTTTTGAAATTTTAAAATAACTGACTTTAAAACCGAATATTTCGGAAATGGTGCTCCGTGATTATAAATACGTTATATTTTTGGGATTAGCAAGTCGAGATTCTTGTCCCAGAATTTTTTGTGACTTTTTAGACGACTTCTTCAAAAGCGACATTTTTCTAGTTGTTCAAATTTCGAAGCATTTTTGACCATTTTCGAAACTTAACTAAATACATTTTCTTGTAGATTTTAGGTTAGGGTATACATAGTGGAAAATTTCATTTTTGAAAAAGTCGTTTAAAAATTCTGAAAAAATTCAGGGTTATATTTACATTGAATTTTTTGGTATACCTGTTTTACGCTAAATAAAATAAATCAGTGAAATGAAAGGACGTGGGCGGGCTAAATTTATTTTTTTTTTCTAGCCTTATGGGCAAGTAGTAGCCCCACCCACCCACCCCTTCTTCATTCCAATGGCTACTCTTAATATGGTTCAGTCTTATTTTAACAACTTTAAATCCCACCATCCACCTTCTATTTTCTCAAACGGAAAGTCATTCTCGAAATTAGACTTATCTTAGGAATTACTAGCCCCGCCCACCCACCCTTTATTTTGTTAGAAATATTTTTCTTAAAAAATATACTATTTGCTATAAAATTTATTTCTTATTAAAAAAAAAAAAACTACAAATATTGTCATTTACCAAAGTTACCCGCCCTCTATTTTCTTAGAGGTTATGTCACTGGCCACAATCAGTCTTATCTTAGTAAGTACTAGCCCCGCCCACCCGCCCTGTTCTCATTCTAACGATTTTATTTCTGTTCACTATAAGATACAGTTTTCATTCAAAGCAGATTAAATGAATCACTGAAAAGGAGGCGGGGTGGGTGGGCGGGGTTAGGTTAGGGTCTATGTACACCGCGGAAAATTTCATTATTGGAAAAGTCGTCTAAAAATTCTCAAAAAATTCTGGGATATACATAGATCCCGAAGTGCTGAGTTCAAAAATAGAGCGTGTTTATGGTAACGAAGCAATATTTTCGGAATATTCGGTGTGAAATTGGAATTTTTTGAAATTTTCAAAAATTGTGAAATTTTATTATATGGTATTTGAATGGGCGATTCTGGAAAAACGGTTGGAGTTATCGAAGAAATGAGGTCGGAAGTGACTTCAAACATTTACCAAAATTAGACTTATTTTAGCAAGTACTAGGCTCCCCACCCACCAGCACTCTATTTTCTTAGAGCGTAGGTCTTTGCCACAATCAGTGTTAACTTAGTAAGTATTAGCCCAAATTATTATATGTTCTTTTGTAAAGTGAGAACGGGAACTAATGGAACGCAGGCTGTTTAAGAAAAAACAAAAAAAAATGTTAATCGTAATATTTTTGCGGTATGCTATTTGCTACAAGATTTATTATTTATTTCAGAACAAAAAATTTAAGGAACGGGTGGGCGGGCGGGGTTAAGTTTGATTTTTCCATGTTTTTATAAAAAAGCAATAACCCCGCCCACCCACCCCGTCTTCATTTCAGGGACTACTCCTAATATTGTTCAGTCATTTGCAAAAATATCTCAACAAATACTACCCCCGCCTTCTGTTTTCTCAGAAGGTATACCATTCACCAAAATTAGTCTTATTTTAGCAAGTACTAGGCCCTCCACTCACCCGTCCTCTATTTTCTTAGAGGGTAGGTCATTTGCCACAATCAGTCTTAACTTAGTAAGCATTAGCCCCGCCCACCCGCCCTGTTCATTTTTATTTCAGAAGAAAAAAAATAAAGAACGGGTGGGTGGGTGGGGCTAACTTTGATTTTTCCACTGACTACTCCTAATAATGTTCAGTCATTTATCAAAATTAGTATAAGATACAGTTCTCATTCAAGGCAGATTAAATGAATCACTGAAATGGAGGCGGGGTGGGTGGGCGGATTTAGGTTAGGGTATATGTACACAGCGGAAAATTTCATTTTTGGAAAAGTCGTCTAAAAATTCTAAAAAAATTCAGGGTTATAGATCTTGATGTGCTGATTTCAAAAACAAACAATAGCCCCGCCCACCCACCCCCTCTTCATTCTAGTGACTATTCTTAATATTGTTCAGTCTTATCTTGGCAACTTCTAGCCCGATCTATCCGCCTTCTATGTTCTTAGAGGGTAAGTCATTTGCCAAAATTAGTCTTATCTTAGCAAAAACTAGGCCCGCCCACCCCCCCTCTATTTTGTTAGAGGTTATGTCATCTGCCACAATCAGTCTAATCTTAGCAAGTACTAGCCCCACCCTTTGTTTTCTTAGAAGGTATGTTATTTGCAGTAATCAGCATTTTAGCAAAGATTAGCCCCGCCTACCCACCCTTCATTTTCTTAGAAGATATGTCATTTACTAAAATCAGTCTTATTTTGGCAGGTACTAGCTCCGCCCACCCACCCCGTTGTCATTCTAACGATCTCATTTCTGTTCAGTATAAGATCCTTGTTTCATTCTGACTGGATAAAATCGGTCACTGAGATGGAGGCGGTGTGGGTGGGCGGGGTTAATTATATGTTCTCTCGAAGAGTAGAAATTGGAACTAATAGAACGTAGGCTGTTACAAAAAAAAAGAAAAAAATGCTAATTGTAATTCTTTCGGTATATGTACTATTTACTATAAGATTTATTTCTTATTTCAGTAGAAAAAATTAAAAAACGGGTGAGCGGGCGGGGCTAAGTTTGTTTTTTTCACTGACTACTCCTAATATTGTTCAGTCATTTACCAAAGTCAGTCTATTCTCAACAAAAACTAGTCCCGCCCACCCACTCTCTATTTTCTTAAAGGTTATGACATTGGCCACAATTACTCTTATCTTAGTAAATACTAACCCCGCCCACCCGCCCTGTTCTCATTCTAACGATTTTATTTCTGTTCACTATAAGATACAATTTTCATTGAAGGCAGATTAAATGAATCACTGAAATGGGGACGGGGGGGAGGGCGGGGTTAGGTTAGGGTATATCTTAGCAAATACTAGACCCGCCCACCCGCCCTCTATTTTGTTAGAAGTTATGTCATTGGCCACAATCAGCCTTATTTTAGTAAGTACTAGTAACGCCCACCCACCCTGTTCATTTTTTATTTCCGAAGAAAAAAATTGAAGAAGGGGTGGGTGGGTGGGGCTTAGTTTTATTTTTCCACTCACTACTCCTAATATTGCTCAGTCATTTACCAAAATTAATCTTATTTTAGCAAATATTAGCCCCACCCAATCGCCCTCTATTTTCTTAGAAGTTTTGTCATTGGACACAATCAGTCTTGTCTTAGTAAGTAGTTACTTTTTTATAGAAATCGACTTCGCAGAATCTTTAGTGACACTTCTGCGACAGTCAAACATTTTTCTCTTATTTTTACGTTGAAAGCCTTTTGAGCTTGTTGCTTTATTGCTAAAAAATTAAATTTTTTTTCGCTTTACGTTGGTAGCCATATCTGTCATTCCTGTCATTGTCATTTGCAAGTGACAAAATTAAGTACGAAAGTAACAATGGATTTAAGACAACCTGAAAAAAAAACGAGACTTCTAATTATCTACGACGACCAAATTTACGATGAGCCCCCACAATCCCCAATAATCGAAACCCTCAAGTTGAAGCAAATATCAGGTATGACGTTCACGTTTTTGAAGTTTTCACAAGTTAATAATTCTACAGAGCTCAAAGAGCACGAAAACAATACAGTATTGCTTCGTATACCAGAAGAAAAACTCACCGACTGTGTCCTAAACCGAGTTTTCTCAACATGCAAACTCGGAGGTAAAGTCGTTGCCACTTGTATCGAAAAAGATGTGGATGATGTTGAATTTAATCTAAAACTGGCGGGTTTTGTTAATGTGGAAGTGAAGACAACAAACTCGGGCATAAATGTGTTTGGTTTTAAACCAACAAACTTGTTCTTGTTTGGAATCTGCCCTGGACTACGGAAACGCAAACATGGAGACTGGATAAAATTTAACGTGACTGATAAGGAAGAGCCTGATCAGATACTTGATCCGGATGAGTTGCTTGATGAGGAAGATTTTAAGCAGCCTGAATCAGCGGCACTACGTAAGTGTTTGACTTTGACACTGTGTGGTGGTTAGGTTGTAATTTTTTTTTAGAGTGTGGCACCTCTGAAAAGCGTAAAGCTGAAGAGGTGACTAAGGAAGTGCAGAAATTACCCCTTGTGACAAGGTCATCATGTAGCAATGTTAGGGCGGAAAGCGACTATTTGGCGCGGCCAACTTGGCACCAAGATGACTTGCGCCAAAGTATCCCTGAGCCAAGTTGGCTTGGCTCTGAAAAGTCTCTCGCCGGAACGTCTGGCGCCAAAATGTCTCGCGCCGAGTCGGACGAGCCAATATGTCTTACGCCGAGTCGGCCGCGGTAAGATGGGAGCGCCATCTTGACCTAGACAGTGTAAGGGTATTTGGAATGTGATAGAGGGGTGTTTTTTTAATTTTTTATTTGTAGTGTTCTCTGGGGGATGCATTTCGGTGCGCTGGTTGTCATCACAGGGGGTTGCCAGGTTATAAGCCTGGCAAAAATATTCCGTTGGTTGGTTTTCAACTAAAGACAGATATTTAGATAAGTTGGGTACTGGTTTACTTTGTGTATTTTGTTTATTAAATTTGTATTCACGTGGAGTTGGTGTTTTTGTAAAAAAATTTTGGTTGGCAATTCTGAGTTGTTGGCAGCAATGTTAGTTCACAGTTGTCAACTTTGACAGATGGATCATAACCAATGAAAAGCTGTCCAAAACTTGAAGTGTTGTCAACCTGACAAAAAAAAAACATTAATAGTCACGCGGTAGAGTCAAAATTTTGGCTTATACTTGCAAAATCCGGTTATAATATGTTTTGGCAACAGCAGAAATAAAAGTACACCCATGAAGGCAATATTTAACTGATTCACGTCTCCATTAAAATGTATAAATCTATCCATAATGAAAGCATCAAATAAATTAATTAATGTAAAATATCACGAGAAACATAAGACCAGTTGAGGATCTTCACTTTCCCTCACACATAGAAGGTTTATTCACAGAAGTCTTTGGTTCGAGGTCTTCCTAATTTAAGTTCAACGAGAGCGTCGAGTTTGTTCAGACCCACACCGTTGCCTTGCTCGTAGTATGGAAGGTTCTTGCAGGTTCTATACCATGTGGACAGGTTGGGATACTTCTCTGTTGAAATGGGCGTGATGATGGTGGCTGTACTGACAGGATCCATATTAGACCCGGTGTTGTTTTTGATTTGCATCAATGACTTACCTTACCTGATCCTTTATATAAAAAAGCAGTCTGCAAAAATAAAAAAAAAAACTTTGAACAATGTCATTGAATATCAAAACAAAAAATTGTTTTGAGTTTGTGGTGACCGAATTTAAATCAAAATTTTCGCGGTGAAATTAATTGACTTCGCAGAATCTTTAGTGACACTTCTACAACAGTCAAACATTTTGCTCTTATTTTTACATTGAAAGCCTTTTAAGCTTGTTGCTTTATTGCTAAAAAATTAAATTAAAAAATAATTAAAAATTCATGCAAAGTAGATCCTAGCGTTTCCAAAAGATAAAAATAACTACACTTTTCCACAAAGAATTATTTCTTAATTAAAGAAAAAATAGTTGCATGTCAATAATTAATACATATACCTACCAAAATGTTCACTTATTCGTTGTAAAGTCCGACCAAACGGTTAGGTTGTGTATCAGATCACGGAACATGATAGAGTCGACATTGGCCTGAGTGCGTTCTGGTCTGTAGATCAAACAAGTTCTCCGGCCACGGTATACCAAAGTGTCGGTGCAAGTTTGGATCAAAGATTTCTTTAACAATTTTTTTCCAATTCTTCAGAGCCTTTCTTAATAACGCACCATCGAGCTTTTCCGTCACTCTTGGATCACCCGATATAAATATTTAGAAATCACTTAGGAAAAACATAAAATAGTGAGCCATACAGGGTGACCTTAGGACCAATAAATCTCGTATCAAAGAAGTCAGCGAAACGTGGTCATTCCAAAGTTTACGCTCACAATTAGTGTACGCCCTATGCTTAGCACTATTAGTTGCGCCCAATGTAGGCAACCAAGTATACACGCAATTAAAGTCCCACGAGTTCCAAAGTTCCACGTTTAGGAATATGTTTGTAATGGGGTGCAGGGCGCAGAAAGTGTCATTCAAACCGATCTATAAACTTTCAAAAAATAAAAGTGATTCCAAACGACTGACGGATAGATTTCGGCAAATTTAAATGATCGCGGTGGCTATGGACCGCCATTATATTTTATTAATACACTATTCAGGCTGTGTTATCTTCAGCAATACTGTTTAAATTGTTCATACAGCAATAATTATTAAAAAATAAATAACTGATTTACCTTTTCAGCAGAGAACCACATAAACCGCACCAAACACTCTCCAAAATGCACTCCCCTTATAGTCACTACCACTCACCAATTCTTCGAATAAAATTGAGGAAAAGTAGGTCAATCAACACACTTTACAAAACAGGAAGCATAAGTTTATCATTGCACGTTGTTTTCTCGCAAAGAATTAAAAAAATCGAAAATAATTCACAATCTTCAATGCCCATTCGAAAGTTTCGCGAACAACGAACTAATGTCACTTACTGCCAATGCAACAAACGTGAAAAATGAAAGTCACCAAATGGGTAACACGCCGTTCTTTTAATCTTGTTTTTAATTTAATAGTTCATCGTTGATAATTGCCAGAGTACCAAAAGCTGAATCCCAATGGGTTTAAAGACGCCTCTGACGTACCCGAAAACGAATTCGTAATAAAGTTGGTTCGCTTTTTTCGCTTTACGTTGGTAGCCATATCTGTCATTCCTGTCATTGTCATTTGCAAATGACAAAATTAAGTACAAAATAACAATGTCTGCAACAACACCTGAAAAAAAGAAGAGACTTCTAATTATCTACGACGACCGAATCTACGATGAGCCCCCACAATCCCCAATAAGCGAAACCCTCACCTTGAAGCAAATATCAGGTATGACGTTCACGTTTTTGCGGTTTTCACAATTTAATAATTCCGCAGATCTCAAACAGCACGAAACCAAAACAGTATTGCTTCGTATACCAGAAGAAAAACTCACAGACTGTGTCCTAAAGCGAGTTTTCTCAACAAGCAAACTCGGAGGTAAAGTCGTTGCCACTTGTATCGAAAAAGGTGTGGATGATGTTGTATTTAATCTAAAAGTGGCGGGTTTTGTTAATGTGGAAGTGAAGACAACAAACTCGGGCACAAATGTGTTTGGTTTTAAACCAACATACGAGATTGGAATTTGCACTAGACTACGGAAACGCAAACATAGAGACTGGATAAATCTTGCGAACCAAGAGCTTGATGAAGTATCTGATCCAGATGATTTGCTTGATGAGAAAGATTTTAAGAAGCCTGAATCAGCGGCACTGCGTAGGTGTTTAACTTTGACACTGTGTAGTGGTTAGGTTGTCAATTTTTTTTTTAGAGTGTGGTACCACTGAAAAGCCTAAAGCTTTGAAGAGGTACATTTGTGGGCCTGCTGAAGAGGTGACAAAGGAAGTGCAGAAATTACCCCGTGGGATGAGGTCATCATGTGGAAATGTTAGGACGGAAAGGGACAATTTGGCGCGGCCAACTTGTCGCGTCCGACTCGCCGTGATAGATTTTCGCAAAAAGCCAATTTGGCCCCAAGATGACTTGCGCGATAGGTTTCCTAATCTATGTTGGTATGGCGGCGGAATGTCTCGGGCCGCGTCAGACGAGCCAATATGTCACGCGCCGAGTCGGCCGCGATAAGTTGGGAGCGCCATCTTGTCCTAGACCATATAAGGGTATTTGGAATGAGATAGAGGGGTGTTTTTTTAATTTTTTATTTGTAGTGTTTTCTGGCGGATGCATTTTATCGCGCTGGTTGTCGTCAGAGGGGGTTGCCAGGTAATAAGCCTGGCAAAAATATTCCGGTGATTGGTTTTCAACTATAGAAGACATTTAGATAAGTCGGGTATAGTAGTTCTGGTGAGAGATTGGGATTTCTTACCAGTTGACATGTAAGTTGGCAGCAACCTAACACTATAAAATCCACTGAAATTCCTACTCTCTCACTCACAGCTGGCTGTCACTGTCTCTGTTACAAACGTAAAACTACTGAAAGTTCCATTGCTAAGGTTAGGCCACTTTTCTGACTCTCACCTACAGTGCTTCTTTAAGGTACGCGTCCACTTGAGAGGGCGCTTGCCAGAAATAATTCCAAGATCAGCCCATAAAGCCATGGTCGGGCCTGCGCTTTTACCTGGTTTCTCCGAGTTTGTGAGCGACTCTGACAATACGAACGCGTTTCGTTGTGCGCCAATGGTCTCCGATAAGTCTGTTTTACGTATATTTTTTTTGTAGTAACTCAATTAATTGCAATAATTGACCTCTGAAATTTAAAATGACAACTTAAGACTAAAGATGGCATAAAATCAAAACCAGAACTCTCGTGAGAGTTGCTCTCCAGAGGACACCGTAAAGATTAATGTTCCAGGAAATATTTGAAACAATTTTCAGTAGAAGACAGAGGTATAATGATAGTAGTCATCGTTTTTTGTTATTAAGAGACAGTTTTGTAACAAAAAAAAACATCAACTCGAAGCCAGGAATTCATTTTCCTATCGTAAAATTATGGCTCCTAAACGAAACTCTCCACAAAAATTCCCGAGTATTGTAAAACTTATGTTTTGTAGCGTTTAAGATTAGAGTGATTTTGGGGTTTCAAATTTCGCGCGGATGGTACACTTTTCTTCGCGTAGATTTAGTGACTTTTCTGTCACGCAATCGCTCACCGTACGCAGTATACTGGTTTGCTTTGTGTATTTTGTATATTAAATTTGTATTCACGTGGCGTTGGTGTTTTTGTAAAAAAATTTGGTTGGCAATTCTGAGTTGTTGGCAGCAATGTTAGTTCACAGGTGTGTCAACTTTGACAGATGGATCATAACCAATGAAAAGCTGTCCAAAACTTGAATTGTTGCCAACCCGACAAAAAAATCACATTAATAGTCACGCGGTAGTCAAAATTTTGGCTTATTCTTGAAAAATCCGGTTATAATATGTTTTGGCAACAGCAGAAATAAAAGTACACCCATGAAGGCAATATTTAATTGATTCACATCTCCCTTAAACTATATAAATATTCTATCCATAATAAAAGCATCAAATAAATTAATCAATGTAAAATATCACGAGAAACATAAGACCAGTTGAGGATCTTCCTAAACCTCATCAAGTTTGAGGAACGAATGAATAAACCAATTTTGCTTAATATTCTATAGCTCATGTTGATGTACGTCCAGGATCCATATTACGCCCGGTGTTGTTTTTGATTTACATCAATGACTTACCGTACCTGATTCTTTATATAAAAAGCAGTCTGGTAAAATTTAAAAAAAACTTTGTTTGAACAATGGCATTGAATATCAAAACAAAAAATTGTTTTGAGTTCTTTTAAGCAAGTCGTTACGTTATCGGAATAAAGTTGTATTAAAAAACGGATAAACAACCCGGAGGTAATTCCACATTTCCCGACATTTTACCTCACAGAATAATTCCACCTTCTGATAGTAGATAATAAGTCAACTCTCACTAAAACAACGAATTCAAGCAGCGGCCAACTGGAACGTGACAAGGAAGAGCTCTCAGTCTCCCATTATTCACGCTTTTTTGCAGCCGATCACCACGTCAGAACAACTCTCATCAGTCATCTCGTGCGCCGCAACTGACATTCAACTGAATTTCAAATTAAATCACAAAATAGTGTGCAAATGTGTGTAAACTATGTGCCTAACATATATGTTGGAAGATATAAAATACAAGAAAAATCCTGTATAGTTTGCTCTGTGCACAACACGTGGACTCATGACAAAGACTAGTAGAAGAAATTTTGTATCATATATCGTGCAATTTTCATACCTATCGAGATTACGTTCGACTGTACCTCTTCGTTCTGTTGAATTTTTGATGTTGTAATCATCTTTTTTGTACATTTTAGGTGAGATGTAATTCGACTACGTATATGTTGTAAGACTCTAGGGCATGTTCATTTAGAGTTTTTGAAAATGTTCATATCATTTTTCTGTAATCGTAACCATTGCAGCTACATTTTATGAGCAGCCATCCTGAGAAAATTTTTACTTAATTTTTTTTGTCCACATCTTTGAATCTCATTATTTTAGGATCTCCTCTTTATGAGTTTTTATATCTATTTACAACCATATGTTACATCTATTTTTTATGTATTTCAATGTGTGATACTCAATAGATTTCTAAAAATGTATCTACGTACATACATTAGGTTATAAACGTTGTTTATATTCATTATTTGCGACAAGTTGTTTATATTTTGTAATAAATCATGACCGTTGTAGCACAGGAATGAATGAAATGAGATTTTGATGAAAATAAAGTTCTAGATTTTAGATTTGTTAATACTTACCTTCACAAAACTACCGACGCACGTTTCAGTGACGCAACGTTTATTACCCCATTCTTTTTTTAAATTTAGTTTGGGATAGATAGTGCCAATGTGGTTTGCAGAACGCATCGACAATTTTTGAGTTTTCAGTGTTATGGGGTAATCGTTATAGTGTTATAAAAACAACAAAATTAATAAGACGAATATATTTAAAAAATGCAGATTTTATGTTCAATATCTGATGTATGTATACAAAAGCGGTCCCTGAAATTCTGTAAAATACTTCAAAAACCAGACACAAGGAATTCTCGAGATTCTTTCAAACTACTTCAAACACCAGGTATAAGTTGTCTCCAAGATGCCTTCAAACTACTTCAAAAACAACAAAAGTAATCTCCCAATTTCGTTCCAACTACTTCAAAAAACAGGCACAAAGAATCTCCAAGATTTTCTCAAATTACTTCAAAAATCAAAAAAAAAATGTAAAACTGAAACATGGGAAAATTGAGAAATCGAAAAATTAGAAGTCGAGAAATTGAAAAATCGAAAAATTGAAAAATGAGTGGAAAACTGAAGAATGGAAAAACTGAAATATCCAAAAACTGAGAAATCAAAAAAGTGAAGCCGAAAAATCAAAAGCTTAAAAAATCGAGACACTGAAAAATCAAAAACCTAAAAAACTGAAAAATTGAAAAACAGATTCTATAAAAGTCAAATTTGAAAAACTTAAAAATCGTAAAATTGAAGAGAAAAATTGGAAAAACAAAATCTAAAACTGGGAACTTCGAAAAATCCAAAAATTAAGAAATCGAAACATTTGAAAAGTTCAAAAACAGAAAGAATTGAAATATCGAAGAACTGAAATGAAAAATTGAGAAATCGAAAAATCTACAATTTTAAAAATTGAAAAATTAAAATATAAAAAAATTTAAAAATCTAAAATTTAAAAATCGAAAAATCGAAATATTGAAAAATCCCAAAACTAATTATCCAAAAACTGAGAATCTAAAAAATTGAAAAAATAAAAAAAAAATGAAAAATCAAATCTTCAATTTATTGAAAATTCGAATAATTGAGTATTTAGAAAAGTCAAAAATTTAAAAACTGTAAAATCGAAAAATTGAAGAGGAAAAAAATTGAAAAAAATGTAAAACCGAAACAGTGGAAAATTGGAAATCGAGAAATTGAAAAATCGAAAAATTGAAAAAAAATATCTACCTAATCAGAAAATTCCCAAAACTGAAATTTCGAAAAATTGAAAAATGAGTGAAAAATTGAAGAATGCTAAAAATTGAAATATCCAAAAACTGAGAAATCAAAAAAGTGAAGCCGAAAAATCAAAAGCTTAAAAAATCGAGACACTGAAAAATCAAAAACCTAAAAAACTGAAAAATTGAAAAACAGATTCTGTAAAAGTCAAATTTGAAAACCTAAAAAATCGAAAAATTGAAGAGAAAAATTGGAAAAACGAAAAATTGAAAAGCAAAATCTAAAACTTGGAACTCTAAAAATCCAAAAATTAAGAAATCGAAACATTTGAAAAATTCAAAAACAGGAAAAATTGAAATATCGAAGAACTGAAATGAAAAATCGAGAAATCGAAAAATCTACAATTTTAAAAATTGAAAAATTAAAATATAAAAAAATTTAAAATCTAAAATTTAAAAATCTAAAAATCGAAATATTGAAAAATTCCAAAACTAAATATCCAAAAACTGAGAATCTAAAAAATTGAAAAAATAAAAAAAAAATGAAAAATCAAATCTTCAATTTATTGAAAATTCGAATAATTGAGTATTCAGAAAAGTAAAAAATTTAAAAATTGTAAAATCGAAAAATTGAAGAGGAAAAAAAATTGAAAAATCGAAAAATTGAAAAAAAAATCTACCTAATCAGAAAATTCCCAAAACTGAAATTTCGAAAAATTGAAAAATGAGTGAAAAACTGAAGAATGCTAAAAACTGAAATATCCAAAAACTGAGAAATCAAAAAAGTGAAGCCGAAAAATCAAAAGCTTAAAAAATCGAGACACTGAAAAATCAAAAACCTAAAAAACTGAAAAATTGAATAACAGATTCTTTAAAAGTCAAATTTGAAAACCTAAAAAATCGAAAAATTGAAGAGAAAAATTGGAAAAACGAAAAATTGAAAAGCAAAATCTAAAACTTGGAACTCTAAAAATCCAAAAATTAAGAAATCGAAACATTTGAAAAATTCAAAAACAGGAAAAATTGAAATATCGAAGAACTGAAATGAAAAATCGTGAAATCGAAAAATCTACAATTTCAAAAATTGAAAAATTAAAATATAAAAAAATTGAAAAATCGAAAAATCGAAATATTGAAAAATCCGAAAACTAAATATCCAAAAACTGAGAATCTAAAAAATTTAAAAAAATCAAAAAAATTAAAAATCGAAAAATTGAAGAATTGGAAACAGTGGAAAGTCAAGAAAACGGAAAATCAAATCTTCAATTTATTGAAAATTCGGATAATTGAGTATTTAGAAAAGTCAAAAATTTAAAAATTGTAAAATCGACAAATTGAAGAGGAAAAAAATTGAAAAAAATGTTAAAAACCGAAACAGGAAAATTGGAAATCGAGAAATTGAAAAATCGAAAAACTGAATAAAAAATATGTACCTAATCAGAAAATTCCCAAAACTGAAATTTCGAAAAATTGAGAAATGAATGAAAAACTGAAGAATGGAAAAGCTAAAATATCCAAAAACTGAGAAATTAAAAAATTGAAGAATTGAGAAATCAAAAAAGTGAAGCCGAAAAATCAAAAGCTTAAAAAATTGAGAAACTGAAAAATCAAAAACCTAGAAAACTGAAAAATTGAAAAACTGAGATTCTATAAGAGTCAGATTTGAAAAACTGAAAAATCGTAAGATTGAAAAGAAAAATTGGAAAAATGAAAAATTGAAAAGCAAAATCTAAAACTGGGAACTCGAAAAATCCAAAAATTAAGAAATCGAAACATTTGAAAAATTCAAAAACAGGAAAAATTGAAAAATTAAAATATAAAAAAATTGAAAAATCTAAAATATAAAAATCGAAAAATCGAAATATTGAAAAATCCCAAAACCAAATATCCAAAAACTGAGAATCTAAAAAATTGAAAAAATCAAAAAAATGAAAAATCGAAAAATTGAAGAATTGGAAACAGTCGAAAGTCAAGAAAATGGAAAATCAAATCTTCAATTTATTGAAAATTCGAATAATTGAGTATTTAGAAAAGTAAAAAATTTAAAAATTGTAAAATCGAAAAATTGAAGAGGAAAAAAATTGAAACATAGGAAAATTGAAAATCGGGAAATTGAAAAATCGAAAAACTTAATAAAAAATATGCACCTAATCAGAAAACTCCCAAAACTGAAATTTCGAAAAACTGAAGAATGGAAAAGCTAAAATATCCAAAAACTGAGAAATTAAAAAATTGAAGAATTGAAAAATCAAAAAAGTGAAGCAGAAAAATCAAAAGCTTAAGAAATTGAGAAACTGAAAAATCAAAAACCTAGAAAACTGAAAAATTGAAAAACTGAGATTCTATAAAACTCAGATTTGAAAAACTGAAAAATCGTAAAATTAAAAGGAACTATTGGAAAAACGAAAAATTGAAAAGCAAAATCTAAAACTCGGAACTCGAAAAATCCAAAAATTAAGAAATCGAAACATTTGAAAAATTCAAAAACAGGAAAAATTGAAAAATTAAAATATAAAAAAAATTAAAAATCGAAAAATCGAAATATTGAAAAATCCCAAAACCAAATATTCAAAAACTGAGAATCTAAAAAATTGAAAAAATAAAAAAAATTAAAAATCGAAAAATTGGAAACAGTCGAAAGTCAAGAAAACGGAAAATCAAATCTTCAATTTATCGAAAATTCGAATAATTGAGTATTTAGGAAAGTCAAAAATTTAAAAATTGTAAAATCGAAAAATTGAAGAGGAAAAAAATTGAAAAAAATGTAAAACTGAAAATAGGAAAACTGGAAATCGAGAAATTGAAAAATCGAAAAATTGAATAAAAAATATGTACCTAATCAGAAAATTCCCAAAACTGAAATTTCGAAACATTGAAAAATGAGTGAAAAACTGAAATATCCAAAAACTGAGAAATTAAAAAATTGAAGAATTGAGAAATCAAAAAAGTGAAGCCGAACAATCAAAAGCTTAAAAAATTGAGAAACTGAAAAATCAAAAACCTAGAAAACTGAAAAATTGAAAAACTGAGATTCTATAAAAGTCAGATTTGAAAAACTGAAAAATCGTAAGATTGAAAAGAAAAATTGGAAAAATGAAAAATTGAAAAGCAAAATCTAAAACTGGGAACTCGAAAAATCCAAAAATTAAGAAATCGAAACATTTGAAAAATTCAAAAACAGGAAAAATTGAAAAATTAAAATATAAAAAAATTGAAAAATCTAAAATATAAAAATCGAAAAATCGAAATATTGAAAAATTCCAAAACCAAATATCCAAAAACTGAGAATCTAAAAAATTGAAAAAATCAAAAAAATGAAAAATCGAAAAATTGAAGAATTGGAAACAGTCGAAAGTCAAGAAAACGGAAAATCAAATCTTCAATTTATTGAAAATTCGAATAATTGAGTATTTAGAAAAGTCAAAAATTTAAAAATTGTAAAATCGAAAAATTGAAGAGGAAAAAAATTGAAAAAAATGTAAAACTGAAAATAGGAAAATTGGAAATCGAGAAATTGAAAAATCGAAAAATTGAATAAAAAATATGTACCTAATCAGAAAATTCCCAAAACTGAAATTTCGAAAAATTGAAAAATTGAGAAATCAAAAAAGTGAAGCCGAAAAATCAAAAGCTTAAAAAATTGAGAAACTGAAAAATCAAAAACCTAGAAAACTGAAAAATTGAAAAACTGAGATTTTATAAAAGTCAGATTTGAAAAACTGAAAAAATCGTAAAATTGAAAAATCGAAAAATTGAGAGTTTATAAAAGTCAAAAATTGAAAAATCGAAATATTTAAACATCGTAAAATCGAAGAAGAGAAAAACTGAAAAAAGGTAGAACTGAAAAATCCCAAAAGTAAGATTTCGAAAAATTGAGAATTCGAAAGTTGAAAAAGCAAGAAATCGAAAAACCTACTCAGGTAAACCAGCTGTCAAGACCTGTAAACCTGTAAATGTAAACTTTGTCATTCGGGAACGTTATGTATTAAATCGTTACGATGTTCAAATACTTTTTTATAGAAATCGACTTCGCAGAATCTTTAGTGACACTTCTACGACAGTAAAACATTTTGCTCTTATTTTTACATTGAAAGCCTTTTAAGCTTGTTGCTTTATTGCTAAAAAATTAAATTAAAAAATAATTAAAAATTCATGCAAAGTAGATCCTAGCGCTTCCAAAAGATAAAAATAACTACACTTTTCCACAAAGAATTATTTCTTAATTAAAGAAAAAATAGTTGCATGTCAATAATTAATACATATACCTACCAAAATGTTCACTTATTCGTTGTAAAATCCGACCAAGCGGTTAGGTTGTGTATCAGATCACGGAACATGATAGAGTCGACATTGGCCTGAGTGCGTTGTGCGTTCTGGTCTGTAGATCAAACAAGTTCTCCGGCCACGGTATACCAAAGTGTCGGTGCAAGTTTGGATCAAAGATTTCTTTAACAATTTTTTTCGAATTCTTCAGAGCCTTTCTTAATAACGCACCATCGAGCTTTTCCGTCACTCTTGGATCACCCGATATAAATATTTAGAAATCGCTTAGGAAAAACATTAAATAGTGAGCCATACAGGGTGACCTTAGGACCAATAAATCTCGTATCAAAGAAGTCAGCGAAAAGTGGTCATTCCAAAGTTTACGCTCACAATTAGTGTACGCCCTATGCTTAGCACTATTAGTTGCGCCCAATGTAGGTAACCAAGTATACACGCAATTTAAGTCCCACGAGTTCCAAAGTTCCTACGTTTAGGAATATGTTTGTAATGGGGTGCAGGGCGCAGAAAGTGTCATTCAAACCGATCTATAAACCTTCAAAAAATAAACGTGATTCCAAACGACTGACGGATAGATTTCGGCAAATTTAATGATCGCGGTGGCTATGGACCGCCATTATATTTTATTAATACACTATTCAGGCTCTGTTATCTTCAACAATACTTTTAAATTGTTCATACAGCTATAATTATTAAAAAATAAATAACTGATTTACCTTTTCAGCAGAAAACCACATAAACCGCACTAAACACTCGCCGAAATGCACTCCCCTTATAGTCACTACCACTCGCCAATTCTTCGAATAAAATTGAGGAAAAGTAGGTCAATCGACACATTTTACAAAACAGGAAGCATAAGTTTATCATTGCACGTTGTTTTCTCGCAAAGAATTCAAAAAATTGAAAATAATTCACAATCTTCAATGCCCATTCGAAAGTTTCGCGAACAACGAACAAACTAATGTCACTTACTGCCAACGCAACAAACGTGAAAAATGAAAGTCACCAAATGAGTAACACACCGTTCTTTTAATCTTGTTTTTAATTTAATAGTTAATCTTTGATAATTGCCAGAACACCCAAAAGCTGAATCCCAATGGGTTTAAAGACGCCTCTGACCTAACCGAAAACGAATTCATAATAAAGTTGGTTTGCTTTTTTCGCTTTACGTTGGTAGCCATATCTGTCATTCGTCATTCGTATAATTGTCATTTGCAAGTGACAGAACTAAGTACAAAAGTAACAATGGACTTAACAAAACCTGAAAAAAGGAGGAAAACATTTGAACAAGAGAGGAAACTTCTAATTATCTACGACGACCGAATCTACGATGAGCCCCCACATTCCCCAATAAGCGAAGCCCTCAAGTTCAGGCAAATATCAGGTATGACGTTCACGTTTTTGCAGTTTTCACAATTTAATAATTCCGCAGTTCTCAAAAAGCACGAAAACAATACAGTATTGCTTCGTGTACCAGAAGAAAAACTCACCGACTGGGTCCTAAAGCTAGTTTTCTCAACAACCAAACACGGAGGTAAAGTCGTTGCCGCTTGTATAGAAAAAAGTGTGGATGATGTTGTATTTAATCTAAAACTGGCGGGTTTTGTTAATGTGGAAGTGAAGACAACAAGCTCGGGCACAAATGTGTTTGGTTTTAAACCAACATATGAGATTGGAATTTGCACTGGACTACGGAAACGCAAACATAGAGACTTGATAAATCTTGCGAACCAAGAGTTTGATCAAGTATCTGATCCAGATGATTTGCTTGATGAGAAAGATTTTAAGAAGCCTGAATCAGCGGCACTGCGTAGGTGTTTGACTTTGACACTGTGTAGTGGTTAGGTTGTAAATTTTTTTTTAGAGTGTGGCACCACTGAAAAGCGTAAAGGTTGGAAGAGGTACGTTTATGGGCCTGCTGAAGAGGTGACAAAGGAAGTGCAGAAATTACCCCTTGGGATGAGGTCATCATGTGGAAATGTTAGGGCGGAAAGGGAGTATTGGGCGTGGCCGGCTTGGCGCGACGAACCTCCCCCGGCTCACATGGGTAATACTTGACGTGAGATTTTTTGGGGCAAAGCCAACTTTACGCCAAGATGGCTCTCGCCAAAGTGTCCCTGGGCCAAGTTTACCCGGCACTCCCTGCGCCAAGTTAGACCGTGTGAGGGTATTTGGAGTGTGATAGAGGGGTGTTTTTTTAATTTTTTATTTGTAGTGTTTTCTGGGGGATGCATTTCGGTGCGCTGGTTGTCCTCACAGGGGGTTGCCAGGTTATAAGCCTGGCAAAAATATTCCGTTGGTTGGTTTTCAACTAAAGGCAGATATTTAGATAAGTTGGATACTGGTTTACTTTGTGTATTTTGTTTATTAAATTTGTAATCATGTGGAGTTGGTGTTTTTGTAAAAAAAATTTTGTTGGCAATTCTGAATTGTGCGACAATGTGAGTTCACACTGTCAACTTTGACAGATGGATCATAACCAATGAAAAGCTGTCCAAAACTTGAATTGTTACCAACTTGACAAAAAAATCACATTAATAGTCACAGGGTAGAGTCAAAATTTTGCTTATTCTTGAGAAATCCGGTTATAATATGTTTTGGCAACAGCAGAAATAAAAGTACACCCATGAAGGCAATATTTAATTGATTCACATCTCCATTAATATGTATAAATATTCTATCCATAATAAAAGCATCAAATAAATTAATTAATGTAAAATATCACGAGAAACATAAGACCAGTTGAGGATCTTCACTTTCCACCACACATAGAAGGTTTATTCACAGAAGTCTTTGGTTCGAGGTCTTCCTAATTTAAGTTCAACGAGAGCGTCGAGTTTGTTCAGACCCACACCGTTGCCTTGCTCGTAGTATGGAAGGTTCTTGCAGGTTCTATACCATGTGGACAGGTTGGGATACTTCTCTGTTGATATGGGCGTGATGATGGTGGCTGTACTGACTGTTGCGACGCAACACAAGTCAGCCACCGTCAGACTTGGACCGGTTAAGTAGTTCTTGTCTTGTAGAAACTTATCTAAAAATTTGTAGGATTCTGTAATTGCACTTATATGTTTCGTCGATATTTCTTTCTCGTTTTCCACGACTATGGAATTCTGGAATGACAAAAAATACTTTAGAGCTCACATTATAGTTGTGTATTTTTTTCATTGTGATAAATTTATCTCAACCCGAGCATCATTCACCGGTTCAAATTTAAACCTCGAATTCCTGCGAGTAATTTACCACTTTTTGCTCGTCAAATTTGGACCCGAGTCAATTTCTTGTCGCACTTCGGACATGCCTCACCAAAATAACCGCACAAAATTACATAAAATATTCCGCCTAAATTTAAGTCGCGCTGAATAATTCACGTCCCGTTCGAACCGATTAATTTCCGCCCGCGCCCATACATATTTAAATCCTGGATAAACGGGAACTCGCTCCCGCTCTTGACCTTGCCGTTGTTTAATTTCGATTTTACTACAAAGCCATCGCTTATTCCTGCTTCCCATTTCCACTTCCACATGCCGTAAATTGCAAAACAAAACAAAACTCTTACTTTCCGCGTGGGCGGCGCCGGAGGCGGCCTAGCGTGCGAACAATGGCGCTCACGTGACTAATGTGCAGGAGTGACGTCAGCAATTATGCACGAGGCAGTACTTACGATAATGTTATTGACTCTAGGAAACAAGACGCCTGAATCGAAGTGGAGGAATTGATCGACGACGGCCCTGGCTTTCGCCTCCTTGGGGTAGAGCTCGTCGCGCCCGGTCTGGCTGCTGAGGTAGGTCACGATGGGGTGGCTACCCCAGAGGGTGAAGTCGCCGTCGGAGAGGGTGGGCACGGTGTGGTGGGGGTTTATCTGGACAGAAAAAGTCAGTTAAACTGCCACCTATAAGTTTTCAAAGGTTAATATAACTGAAACTTGTGCGAATTTAAACATTTAAATTTACCACTTCCCGTGTTTTGGTTTGACTCATGGCGGAAACAATACGACTCCAAATAAACATCGCTACATAATATGAAACTGCTGACTATTTTTAGAATTTAATTAATAAAAAGATCAACCCGTTTCATCAAAGTGGCATCTTCGCGGACAGATAAATGAAAAAACAAACACATTCGTCGATAAAATTTTATATCTAGGTATTATGTTGTGAAAATGTAACGCGTTTTAATGTAATTTGTAGATGGTTTTCTGGAAAGAATGAATAAACAAATTTTACTTAATATTCTATAGCTCATCTTGATGTACAATCGCACGCAAATGTTTTGAACCTATGGGTGGATCATTTTTGCCGGTCGTCACCCAAGGAGGCGGTCCAAATCGTCCAAGGGCAGAATTTGTAGGTAGGCTCAAACTACAACGAAATTTACGTGTTGACCAAATTCTTACCCTGAATTAGTTTTAATTTTATAAATACTTACTCTGAATTAGTTTTAATTTTATAAATACCCTATCTAAAATGTTCAGAATATGATGAGTCTATACTTTTTGATTTACCATTCCATTAATATTTTTTGGATTTGTTTATACATACAGGGTGAGTAAAAAAAAATAATGACTGAGTCAATTTATTTTATTGAAGAAATCAAGAATTGCAAAACTGAATACATAGAAATCTTATCAATTAGTTGGCCTGCTCTAGTAACATCGAGAATATGCTCAAAATCACACTAATATTAGGTCTAATTGTGCCGACCATAGTTATAAAATTCACATTAAAGTAAGTCACGGACATTTTTTGAAGTGGACTACATTTGAAAAAGCAAAAAAAATGTTCAGTTTAACTTCCTAATTTTGGTTTAAAGTTTATCAATCATATTTGACGCTTTATTTTATCCGTTCCATTTGCTATCCTTTACTGCGGTCTCTCTTGGATCGAGGTGTAACACCGGACCGAACGTTCTTCGACCGATAGGATAATTTATTACTTCCGACATCTTTTCGGTGACAAATTTAATCTTTGCACACTTCAGCGTAGTTAGTGAACTCGTTGTGACCACTGAAATATACAAAGAGTAAATTTTGAAATGGAACGAAAGTCGAAGAATACTTTCAAAGCCACGATCAAAATGTATTTGCTTATCTTCGCCAAAAAATGCATGACGTCATCGTAAATTTTGATATGATGAGTCTATACCTGTGATTTATCATTGCAGTAATATTTTTTAGATTTACTTATACAGCCTGTCTCAAAAAAAGGTCACTTCGATTTTCGATTTTTCGTTTTTTCGACCAACAGTTTCATCGAATTAGATTTTTCAGTTTAAATTTTTCTATCAACTTTTCGATTTTATTACTTTCTAATTTTCTGATTTTTCAAATTTGCGGTATTTTGATTTTTCGAGTTTTCAGTTTTTTCGTTTTTCGATTTTTTAATTTTTCGTTTTTTTGGTTTTTCGATGTTTCGATTTTTTAAGTTGCCATTCTTTCAATTTTCGATTTTTCGTCTTTCCATTTTTAGATTTTTTGATTTTTCTGTTCGTCAGTTTTTAGACTTTGCAATTTTTTTGCATTTTTCGATTATATTTTACTTTCCGATTTTTTCGATTTTTCAATTCTCGATTTTACGTTTTTAATTCTTCGATTTCCGATTTTTCAATTTTCCGGTTTTTTAATTATTCTATTCTCGATTTTTCAATTTTCCATTAATCACAAAATTTTTCGATTTTTCGGTTGTTTTATTTTTCGACCTTCGATTTTTCAACTTTCAATTATTCGATTTTCCATTTTCTGATTTTACGATTTCTCGATTTTGGTTTTTCCGTTTTTGTGGTTTTTCGATTTTTCTGTTTGTTTCAGTTTTTATGGTTCTGCAATTTGCAGCTTTTAGATTTCAATTTTGTTACTTTCCGATTTTCCACTTTTCGATTTTTTGATTTTTTTTCGATTGTCGTTTTTTCGATTTTCATTTCTTCGATTTTTTGATTTTTCAATTTTTAGGCCTTGCAATTTTTTTACTTTTCGCTTTTTCGAGTATTTGTTTCATCGAATTTTCGATTTTCGATTTTTCGACTTTCCATGTTTAGATATTTTTCGATTTTTTTTTTATTTTTCGATTGTTCTGTTCGTCAGTTTTGACACTGCAATTTTTACTTTTCCACTTTTTTATTATTTTAGTGTCGGATTATTCGATTTTTGAATTTACGTTTTTTTTTTCATTTTTCGATTTCCGATTTCCGATTTTTTAATTTTTCGATTTTTCGGTTTTTTAATTTGTCGATTATCGATGTTCCGATTTTCGATTTTCCAATCTTCGATTTTTCAAATTCCAGTTTTCGATTTTCCACTTTTTGATTCAGTTTTTAGGCTTTTTCCTATTTTTCGATTTTTGATTTTTCCATTTTTCGGTTTTTTGATTTTTCAATTCTCGGTTTTTCAATATTGCAAATTTTCGATTTTTCAGATTTGTGAATTTTCAGTTTTTCGATCGACCTACGTATTAGATTCATTGAATTTTCGATTTTCGGTTTTTCCATTTTTAGATTTTTGATTTTCCAGTTTTGTATTTTCAGATTTTCTGTTTTTCGCATATCTGATTTATCAAATTTTCGATTTTTCGGCTTTTCGATTTTTCGATATTTGATTTTCGAATTTTCGATTGTTCAGTTTTCCATTTTTCAGCTTTTAGACTTCAATTTTTTTACTTTTCGATTTTCCAAATTTTCGAGTTTCAATTTTCAGATTTCTGATTTTTCGATTTTCTTTTTAAATCTTTGAATTTTTCGGTTCTGATTTTTCGAATTTTTGATTTTTAATTTTTCCATTCTTCGGTTTTTAGACTTCAATTTTCTTTCTTTTAAATTTTTCGATATTCTATTTTCCGCTTTTCAGAATTTTCGATTTTCAGTTTTCAGACTTTCGATGATTAGAATTTTGGATTTTTCAGTTTTATGATTTTTCGATTTTTAGAAAATTTGAGTAGTCGAATTTTCGATTTTTCAATTCATCGATTTTTCTATGTTCAATTTTTCAATTTAAATTTTGCGATTTTCAATTTGTCCATTGTCGATTTTTAGAATTTTCGGTTTTTCAATTTTTTCATTCTCAACTGTTAGATTTCAATTTTGTTACTTTCCGATTTTTTGGTTTTCGATTTTCCAAGTTTCAGAATTTCCAAGTTTCTTTATTCAGATTTTCGATTTTCCACTTTTTCGGTTTTAGATTTTTCGAATTTTTGTTTTTCCAATTTTTTGCTTTTTCGATTTTTCTGTTCGTTTCAGTTTGCAATTTTTTTTACTTTATATATTTTGATTATTTTAATTTCCGATTTTTTTTATTTTTGTTTTTGATTTTTTTAATTTTCAATATTACAAATTTTTGACTTCGATTTTTTGGTTTTCCCGTTTTTCAATTTTCGATTTTTCGATTTTTGAGGTTTGTGAATTTCCACTTTTCGATCGACCTAGGTATTTGATTCATTGAATTTTCGATTTTTTGATTAGCCATTTTTTGATTTTCGATTTTTACGATTTGTATTTTTCGATTTTCTGTTTTTTGCATTAGTGAATTTCAGTTTTTCCGATTTTTGATTTTGCGCATATTTGATTAATCAAATTTTCGAAAAAGTTACCATGCTTACAAAAACTTCAAAACATCTACAATATTTCAAAGTATTCAGTTTTGCTATTCTTGATTTCTTCAATAAAATAAATTGACTCAGTCATTAACGTTTTTGAGACACCCTGTATAAACAAATCTAAAAAATATTAATGCAGTGATAAATCACAAGTATAAACCTCATCATATTTTATACATTTAAGATAGGATTTCAAAAATTTTTTAGAGGGGATAAGCAAATATATTTTAATTAAAAATGTATCATGTTTATCATGATTTTAAAACATTTGCAAGATTTCAAAGTATTCGATTTTTGCAAATTCAAAATTAAATTGCAAAATATTGTTTTATAATTTTGATTTTTTTTCCAAAAATCTGGACGTTTCGGATAAAAACTCAACACGGAGTCATAAACTACATGTGTAGGACTATGTTACTGTATACAATTTAAAACCCATTTACTATGCATAAATTTGAAGTGACGTCATCACATTATTGGTGGGGATGATTAGACAAATTTAATAATTTTGCGACATTTATGAAAAACATATCAGTTAACAAAAATGGCACGTTTTTATTATTATGCCAGTTACATGTGACTCAACGACAATATCGTTTTTTTTTAAGAGTATTTTATTTGAAAAAGTGATGAAATTTTTTATACGGAACAATTGGTCGAAAGATGTTAGAAAGCAAAATAATTCATGTCCGGACCATCGTTACTCACGAACGAAAGTGACCATTATTTTATGGGAACAACTACCTGCTAAATCTTCTCGGACAAATTCCAGAGAACTAGTGTGAGCCATAAATATTTCTTACCAAATGTATATATAACTACTGTCCGTCCCGTTATTGTCAATAAAATTTTATAGGGTAAAATGTGAATTTCGTTGTAGTTTGAGCCTACCTACAAATTCTGCCTTTGAAGGATTTGGACCGCCTTCTTCGGTGAGGGCAGGCAAAAACGATCCGCCCATAGGCTCAAAACATTTGCGTGCGATTGTACGTCCAGGATCCATATTAGGCCCGGTGTTGTTTTTAATTTGCATCAATGACTGATTCTTTATATAAAAAAGCAGTCTGCTAAAATTAAAAAAAACTTTGTTTGAACAATGTCATTGAATATCAAAACAAAAAATTGTTGAGTTCTTTTAAACAAGTCGTTACGTTGTCGGAATAAAGTTTTATTAAAAAACGGATAAACAACCCGGAGGTAATTCCACATTTCCCGACATTTTACCTCACAGTTTAATTCCACTTTCTGACAGTAGATAATAAGTCAACCCTCACTAAAACAACCACAATACTTGAACTTTCCAAAGTAATAATCTAGACCAAGCTTACGTATTCAAACCCAAGGGAAATTATTCCGCTATAGAGGATACTTACGTTGATAAAACAGAATTAAGCGGAAACATATACAACTACATACACCTGTTTTACTAGGCTAAATTAAATCGTGTTATAACATCCATTATGTTTGTTTAATTCCACCTGAAGTGTTAAAATTATATTCTACTCAAGCTAAAAAACCACCAGTCGCCCACGACCCAGACGCAGAAACAACGAACTCAAGCAGCGGCCAACTGGAGCGTGACAAGGAAGAGCTCTCAGTCCCCCATTATTCACGCTTTTTTGCAGCCGATCGCCACGTCAGAACATCCAATCCTTCGCCAACAACCAGCCATTCCCACGTTCTTCAGCTCTGCTTAGCAACCACTCTCATCAGTCATCTCGTGCGCCGCAACTGACACTGCTGCGTTTTTTCGCTCCACGTCAATCACTCCAAATCCTGCGATTTCGCGAAACTCACGCGTGATGGATCATGATATTGCGTTTTTTTGGAGAAAGATTGAGACCGATGGGAGCGTTGAGTTAATTTTTGAGTGGAACTGGAGGATGGAATGCGAATGTGACTGTTGCTTCCCACTCGTTATTTTGCGCCAGACAGGGGTTAAGAGATGCATAGATCCATACTCGTTAATAATGAAATTGATCGTCTGACATTTTTTCACATTTTGGATTTCATTGTATTATGTCTGACAGGTGATGAAGTCGCCACAACATAATCAATTGGATTAATATATTATACGTTGAATTTTTATGTGTGGACACTGACTGTATACAGACATGTGAAGTGCACGTGATCACTCCATCTGTTCGCTAAATGGATTATGGTTTTGTAGGTATTTCACTACATTGAACAACAATTCGACGTTTACGCACTAGTTAAAGAATTAAAATAAAGACCTGAAATTTATTTTTCATCCGAAATTACAGCAAAATGTATTCACTGTTTAAATAAAAAATTCATAGAAATATATTTTGACAGAACTTCCCTCGCCCCTAAAGTACAGTTCAACAAATCCTGCTTCTTTGAAAAAATATAAAATTTGATTTTTCGAAATTTTACTTTTTTTGATAACCTATTAAATTTCATCTTCTTAAAAAAAACAGTTGGGACCCCTGAGAAGGTTTCACATGCTTAAAAACAGCTGGGACTTCCGAGAAGGCTTTACATTCTTAGAAAAAAGCAGTTGGGACCTCCAAGGTTTTACATTCTTAAAAAAAAACAGTTGGATTCCCCAAGAAAATTTCACCATCTAAACAAAAAGACAGTTGGGGACCCCGAGAAGGTTTCACATTAAAAAAAACAGTTGGGGCGCTTGAAAAGGTTTCATTTTCTTAAAAAAAATAAAGCTAGGGCCCCCGAGAAGGTTTTACATTCTTGAAAAAAACAAGTTGGCGCCCCTGAGAAGATTTCACATTTTTAAACAAAAAAAAAAAACAGTTGGGACCCCTGGGAAGGTTTCTTAAAAAAAAAGCGGTTGGGACACCTGAGAAGGGTTCACATTTTTAAAAAGAAAAGACACCTGGGATCCCCCAGAATGTTTTACGTCCTTAAAAAAAGGCAATTGAAACACCTGGGAAAGTTTCATTAAAAAAAAAAGCAGTTGGAACCCCTGATGAGGTTTCACATTAAAAAAAAGACACCTGGGACCCTCGAGAAGGTTTTACATTAATAAAAAAAAACAAGTTGGGGTCCCTGAGAAAATTTCACATTTTTAAACAAAAAAAAAACAGTTGGGGCCCGAGAGATGCTTTAATCTTCTTAAAAAAAAGTTGGGACCTCTGAGGTTTCATTAAAAAAAAGCAGCTGGAACACCCGGGAAGATTTTGTCTTCTTAAAAAAAATCACTTGGAACCCCTGAGAAGATTTCATCTTCTTAAAAAAAAGCAGTTGGGACCCCTGAGGTAGGTTTCACATTAAAAAAAAGACACCTAGGACCCCCCAGAATGTTTTACGTCCTTAAAAAAAGGCAATTGAAACACCTGGGAAAGTTTCATTAAAAAAAAGCAGTTGGAACCCCTGAGAAGGTTTCACATTAAAAAAAAGACACCTGGGACCCTCGAGAAGGTTTTACATTAATAAAAAAAACAAGTTGGGCCCCCGAGTAGATTTCACATTAAAAAAAAAAGTTCGGGTCCGACAGATGCTTTAATCTTATTAAAAAAAAGCAGTTGGGACCCCTGAGAAGGTTTCAAAAAGAAACAGTTGGAACAACCGAGAAGATTTTGTCTTCTTAAAAAAAAAGCACTTGGAACCCCTGAGAAGGTTTCATCTTCTTAAAAAAAGCAATTGGGACCCCTGAGAAGGTTTCATTTTCTTAAAAAAAAACACACAGTTAGGGTCCCTGAGAAAGTTTCACATTTTAAAAAAAAAAAGACAGCTGGGACCCCCGACAAGATTTTTATATTCTTTAAAATAAAGTTGGGGCCCCTGAGAAGATTTCACATTTTTAAACAAAAAGACAGTTGGGACCCCCGAAAAGGTTTTACACTAATAAAAAAGGTAGTTGGAACACCTGAGAAGGTTTCATTAAAAAAAAAGCAGTTGAGACCCCTGAGAAGGTTTCATCTTCTTAAAAAAAGCAGTTGGGACCCCTGAGAAGGTTTCACATTAAAAATAAGACACCTGGGATCCTCGAGAAGGTTTTACATTCATAAAAAAAGGCAGTTGGAACCCCTGAGAAAGTTTCGTCTTCTTAAGAAAAAGCAATTTTGACCCCTGAGAAGGTTTCACATTCTTAAAAAAAGACACCTGAGACCCCCGAGGAGGTTTTAGGTTCTTAAAAAAAAAGGCAATTGAAACACCAGGGAAGGTTTCATTAAAAAAACAGTTGCGGCCACTGAGATTTCACATTTTTACATTTTTAAATAAAAGACAGCTGGGACCCCCGAGAAGAATTTACATTCTTAAAAAAAGCAATTGGGATCCCTGAGAAGGTTTCATTTTCTTAAAAAAGAAAAAACACAGTTAGGGTCCCTGAGAAAGTTTCACATTCTTAAAAAAAAGACAGTTGGGACCCCCGAAAAGGTTTTACACTATAAAAAAAGGTAGTTGGAACACCTGAGAAGGTTTCATCTTCTTAAAAAAAGCAGTTGGGACCCCTGAGAAGGTTTCACATTAAAAATAAGACACCTGGGATCCTAGAGAAGGTTTTACATTCATAAAAACGGCAGTTGGAACCTATGAGAAAGTTTCGTTTTCTTAAAAAAAAGCAATTTTGACCCCTGAGAAGGTTTCAAATTCTTAAAAAAAGACACCTGAGACCCCCGAGAAGGTTTTAGGTTCTTAAAAAAAAGGCAATTGAAACACCAGGGAAGGTTTCATTAAAAAAAACAGTTGCGGTCCCTGAGAAGATTTCACATTTTTACATTTTTAAATAAAAAAGACAGCTGGGACCCCCGAGAAGATTTTATATTCTTTAACAAAAAGTTGGGGCTCCTGAGAAGATTTGAGATTTTTAAACAAAAAAATAGTTGGCGCTCCCAAGAAGGTTTTATATTCTCAAAAAAAGACACTATGGACCCCCGAGAAGGTTTCACTTTCTAAAAAAAAAAAAACAACTGGAACCCCCGAGAAGATTTTACATTCTAAAAAAAAAAAACAGTTGACGCCCCTGAGACGATTACACATTTTGAAACAAAAAAACTGTTGGGGTCCCCGAAAAGGTTTTACATTCTTAAAAAAGGCAGTTGGGATCCCTGAAAAGGTTTCTTAAAAAAAAACAGCAGTTGGGACACCCGAGAAGGTTTCGTTTTCTTAAAAAAAAAAGCAATTGGGACACCTGAGAAGGTTTCACATTTTTAAAAAGAAAAGACACCTGGAACCCCCGAGCAGACTTTACATTCTTAAAAAAAGCAATTGGGACTCCTGAGAAGGTTTCATTTTCTTAAAAAAAAACACAGTTACGGTCCCTGAGAAAGTTTCACATTCTTAAAAAAAAGACAGCTGGGATCTCCGAGAAGATATTATATTCTTTAAAATAAAGTTGGGGCCCCTGAGAAGATTTCACATTTTTAAACAAAAAGACAGTTGGGACCCCCGAAAAGGTGTTACACTAATAAAAAAAGGTAGTTGGAACACCTGAGAAGGTTTCATTAAAAAAAAAGCAGTTGAGACCCCTGAGAAGGTTTCATCTTCTTAAAAAAAGCAATTGGGACCCCTGAGAAGGTTTCATATTAAAAATAAGACACCTGGGATCCTAGAGAAGGTTTTACATTCATAAAAAAGGCAGTTAGAACCCCTGAGAAAGTTTCGTCTTCTTAAAAAAAAGCAATTTTGACCCCTGAGAAGATTTCACATTCTTAAAAAAAGACACCTGAGACCCCCGAGAAGGTTTTAGGTTCTTAAAAAAAGGCAATTGAAACACCAGGGAAGGTTTCATTAAAAAAAAGCAGTTGGAACCGTTGAGAAGGTTTCATTAAAAAAAAAGCAGTTGGGACACCCGAGGTTTCGTCTTCTTAACAAAAAGGCATTTGAGACCCCTGAGAAGGTTTCATCTTCTTAAAAAAAGCAGTTGGGATCCCTGAGAAGGGTTCACATTAAAAATAAGACACCTGGGACCCTACAGAAGGTTTTACATTCATAGAAAAAGGCAGTTGGAACCCCAGAGAAAGTTTCGTCTTCTTAAAAAAAAGCAATTTTGACCCCTGAGAAGGTTTTACATTCTTAAAAAAAGACACCTGAGACCCCCGAGAAGGTTTTAGGTTCTTAAAAAAAGGCAATTGAAACACCAGGGAAGGTTTCATTAAAAAAAAGCAGTTGCGGCCCCTGAGAAGATTTCACATTTTTAAACAAAAAGATAGTTGGCGCCCCTGAGAAGGTTTTACATTCTTAAAAGACACTTGGGCCCCTGAGAAGGTTTTACGTTCTTAAAAAACAGGCAATTGAAACACTAGCGAAGGTTTCATTAAAAAAAAAAGCAGTTGGGACCCCTGAGAAGGTTTCACATTCTTAAAAAAGACACCTTGGACCCCCGAGAAGGTTTCACGTTCTTAAAAAAAAAACACCTGGGACCCCCGAGATTTTACATTTTTAAACAAAAAGACAGTTGGGGTCCCCGAGAAAGTTTTCTTAAAAAAGGCAGTTGGGACCCCTGAGGTTTCTGTAAAAAAAAAAACAGCAGTTGGGACACCCGAGAAGGTTTCGTCTTCTTAAAAAAAAAGCAGTTGGGACCCCTGAGACGGTTTCTTAAAAAAAAAAGCAGTTGGGACACCTGAGAAGGGTTCACATTTTTAAAAAGAAAAGACACTTGGAACCCCCGAGAAGATTTTACATTCTTAAAAAAAGGCAGTTGGGACCCTTGAGAAGGTTTCATTTTCTTAAAAGAAAGCAGTTGGGACATCCGAGAAGGTTTCACGTTCTTAAAAAAAATTGGTAGGTGGTTATTTCAACAGAACTTCCCTCGCCCCTAAAATGCAGCCAAATAAATCCCGCTTCTCTGAAAAATTTTCATTTTTTTTGCAATTTTTGTTTTCTGATAACTTCTATAAAGTAAAAACCAGTGGTGCCAATAACGTTACCGCAGCTTATTTAATTGAATTTTTCAATTTTTCAACTTTTCAACTTTTCATTTCAATTTCTAGATTTTGCAATTTTTCGATTCAAGTTTCTCGATTCAATTTTCAATTTTTCCATTCGCAATTATTCGTTTCAGTTTTTTATTTTCTTTATTTTTACAATTTTTCAATTTTTCAAAGTTCCGATTTTATAATTTTTTGTTTTTTAAATTTCACTTTTTTTCAAATTTCGTTTCGACAGTTTTTCAATTTGCAATTTTTCAACTTTTCGTTTTTTTCCTTTAATTTTCTCTTTTCATTTTTGAATTTTCCAGTTTTCCAATTTTCCAGCTTTTGGACGTCTCAATTTCTAGATTTTGCAGTTTTTCGATTTGAAATTTCACAAGTTTCATATGGTCATTTCTTGTAAAGAAACGAGGATTTTGCAACCAAACTCCGCCCTTCAGCCTACGATGAATAAAGCATTCAGCACAATTGAGAAGGGGTGGGTGGGCGGGGCTTATGTTTGGTCCATTTTCTCTTAATATACGAAGTCTTCTTTTCCCAACAAGAAATTGACAATATGGTTAACTGTCCTGTTGTTGAAAGAACACCCTATATATTAAAAAAAAAACACAAAAATTAAGTAAACGATCTTAATTGTGATGAACTTTTTATTCGTTGTTATACTGATTACATATATACTTATTTTATCATTATTATGTGTATAAAGATGTGCGTTTTCTCACATTCTCGAGAAAATGGATAACTGACTCGTTTTTAATTTGACCAATAAAAAATTTGACAACAATCGGTCCAGCAGTTTCGGAGATTACGTGTCTAATAAAAGTGGATACAGACAGACAGACAGACCAACCGACGGAAACGGGAGACTACTTTTTTCGTACTGAAGGGGTCATGAAATGTCGAGAAAACATAAAAGTGGCAATTCGTCCGATGGACTTGATTACTATACTTCCTTAGCTTACGCTCGGGAAGTAAAGACACTTGGGACCCCTGAGAAAGTTTTACATTCTCTAAAAAAAGACAGTTGGAGCCCTCGAGAAGGTTAAAAAAACTTTGTGAAAATTATTTCGACAAAAATTTCTTTAATGATGTTCGTTTTGTGATAACCTCTATAAAGTAAAAGTTCAATTGTAAAATATAGTCTTAAAATTTTGATTTTTTTCACAAAAATCTGGACGCCAAGGGTAAAAATTCAACACGGATTCATAAATCACACATGTAGGAGCATATTATTTTATAAAACTTAAAGGAACTAATAACAAAAAATTGGAACCATCACGAAAGAACCACGCTAAATCGCCACTTCGTTACATTTTCAGAACAATAACACAATAACTGTTCACGCGTCCACGTTACGCCAGCACATGAAAAACTCTCAATTCCATAAACGATTCGCTCTCTTTGACCTCTGCCTCTCCCCCAAGCCCAGAACGGCTAAAAACCCCTTATTTCCGCGATTTTCCCCACTTACCGATCCCTCGGACCTTTCCACTCACCTGCAGCAGGTCCGCGTCCTGCTCCTTCCCGTAGAGGCTGACCTGGTGGAGGTCGGCCTGCAGGTCCGCGGCGCCCAGCAGCAGCGCGACGGCCCTGCTCTGGGCGCACATCTCATTGTAGAAGATCTTGGGCGGCATTTTGGGTCGGCTTCAGTCCGACATCGGCGCCGGCCAGCGGCACAACTCCGGTGTGAACGCCCGTGCAACAATGGACTCGGCCTCGAGGCAGTGACATCACCAGCACATCGCGCTCGACGACTGATGCATCCGACTCGGAGAGGCGCGACGCGGACGTTCGCCGACGAAGACAAATCAATAACTGTCCTGTCCTGCACCAACTGTTGCTTTCGATCGGCGGAGTGCGGCGCAGGATCGGGTCGGGGGATTTCGCCGGCGGAGCGGAAGGAGGCCGGACGGGATGCTGCAGGAGCGCGGCTCACGCGGACTGCGGGAGAGGGTTATTCGCGAGGTGGTGAGCTAAGGAGGGATGGTGGCAGCCACCAATATATGGTAACGTTCGTGTGGTAAACATGGTGGGGGGGATAGTTGGCAGCCGTTGGTCGCAGAACATCTAGGGTGTTTGTAATATAAAGAACCATAGTCATTTTTAAAAAATGCAACATGTGTTGGATCCGAAAGTTCTATAGAGGCTTTTTTTGTTTAACAGATGTAACACACTGGATCCATATACCCACGTTGATGGACCACGATGAGTTCGTGTTCTGGGACAGCACGTCATCATGGTCCATGACTTGCTGGCCAAGTAATTATTTTTCCAAAATTGAGTGGGGTTTTGTGTCAATGTTAAATTTAAAATGTATTTTTAATTTTTTACTGTTGATTAATACGAATAAACACTTTTCGTCTTGATGTCTCGTTTATTTTATCCCATCGCCAACACTAAAATGGTTTTTGAGTCGTAGAATCTTGTATTGGTTTTAAAAACTGGCCTAAAGTTATGTAGACAGAACTTCTTTTGCAACTAAACAAACCCAGTTTCTTGGTTGAACTATAAAATTTGATTCTCCGATTTTATTTTATTTTTAATGATAGCTGCAAAAAAACGACGGAAAAAGGAATATCAAAGGTGGCTAAAAAATGCGACAAAAAAACTGACATAAGAGGGCCACAATAAAAAGCGATGAAAGAAATACGAAAATTGGCGTAAAGAAAAGCGGAAAAAACATGGTTAAGAATATCAACAAAAAATCAGTGAAAGACGACAAAAAAGGGACGTAATAACAGGCGACAAAAAAAGGCTAATAAAAGAAGGTCATAAAAAACTCAAAAAAAGACGACACAATGAAAATGAAAATAGACGACAAAGGAGACTACGAAAAAGCGACAAAAAAGAAGGGCACAAAAATCAACATAAACAATGCAATAAAAGAACAAAAAAAAAGTGACAAAAAAAGTGAACAGAAAATGCGACAAAGAAGTGATAAAAAAAATGCGTTTAAAAAGCATCAAGGAAAACGATTAAAAAAAAGCGACCTAAAAGACGACAATAAAAAAATAACAAAAAAGGCCCAAAAAATGCAACAAAAATGCGATGAAAGAAAGGTGAAAAAAAACACAATAAAAAGCGAAAAAAAGAAAGAGACTATAAAAAGAGCGACAAAAAAGTGCGACAAGAAGAAGGCAACAAAAGAAGTTTTAAAAAGGCGAAAAGAGACAAGAAAAGGTACAGGAAGAAGACCCAAAAAATGCAACAAAAAAAAAGACGAAATAAAGGCGTGAAAAACGTGCGACAAAAAAAGTCAAGGTGACAGACAAAAGGTAACGAAAGAATGACATAAAGAAAAGGCGGCAAAAAATGCTACAAAACATACGACAAAAGAAAGGTAAAAAAAGACAATAAAAGCGACCAAAAAAGCAATAAAAAATGGCAATAGGCAAAAAATAGGATACAAAAAATACGATTAAAAGACAATAAAAAACGAAAAAAAAAAAAAAAGACGATAAGAAGAGTGACAAAAAAGTGCGAAAAAAGAAGGTAACAAAAGAAAGGTGGAAACAGATGCGACGAAAAAACGATAAAAAGATGACAAAAAACGACCAAAGAAAGACGAAGAAGATGACAAAGAAAGTTTTTAACAAAGGTGAAAAAGAGACAAGAATAGGTACAGAAAAAAGGCCCAAAAAAGTGCAACAAAAAAAAAGGACAACATAAAGAAGATTCACAATGAAAGTAACAAATGAAAGGCGTGAAGAGGCGAAAAAAGCGAATAAAAAAATGACAAAAAGTACGAAAAAAGAACCAAAGGAAATTTAAAAGTGAGAAAAAGCAAACGACAATAAAACTAACGAAAAAAAACCGACAAGAACAAGTTACAAAAAAGGCACAAAAAAAAGTCGACAATAAAAAAAGGTGAGAAAAAAGCTACAAAAAGAAAACAACAACAAAGAATAATCACCAAGTTAGGCGACAAATGAAGCTTGAAGAAGCGAAAAAATAGACGACAAGGTCACAAAAAAAGCTACAATATAACAAAAAAAGACTACAAGATAAAAATGAAAATAGACAAATAGAAAAGAAAGCAACCAAAAAAGCGATTAAAAAATTGTGAAGAAAATGCGGCAAAACGAAGGCCACAAAACATAAAAGAAAAAAACAGCGAGCAAAAAAAAAAGAGCAAAACGCGAAAAAAACAATAAAAAATGCGTGCAAAAAACGACTAAACATAAAAGTGAAAAAAAAGTGAACACAAAAGGCAACAAGAAGGTGAAAAAAGTAACAAAAAAAATAGATAAAAAAACGCAAAGAAAACATTTAAAAAAAGTTACCAAAAAATAGAACGCAAGTTACGAAAAAACAACAAAAACTCAAAATAAAGACAGCAAAAAGACGACAAAAAGAACAACAAAAGAGGGCCACAAAAATGCATCAAAGATGAAAAAACAACAATAAGCAACCAAAAATTTATGAAAACCGACAAAAGGCAAAAAGACAAAAAAACGACAACAAAAAACGCGACAAATTAAGATGAAGAAAAGGGGTACAAAAAATTAAAAAAAAGCAAGAAAAAACAGGAAGGGAACGACGAAAAGATACAAAAAAGGCAACAAAGAAAACACGAAATAAAAGCGTGAAAACAATAAGCTAAAGAAGGTCGCAAAAAATGCGACAAAAGAAAGCAACAAAAAAAAAATTTAAAAAAAGGGGCCAAGACATAATGTCAAGACCCAAAAAAAGGTAATGATAAAAAGACATAAAAATGGCGACAAAAGAGACGACAAAAAATGTTAGAAAAAGAACATACACAATGAAAGCAACAAAAGAAAGGCATGAAGAGGCGAAAAAAGCAAACAAAAAATGAGAAAAAAAAACGAAAAAAGAACGTCATAGGAAATTTAAAAGTGGGAAAAAGCAAACGACAATAAAAGCAAAAAAAACGACAAGAAAAAGTTACAAAAAAGCGACAAAAAAGGTACCAAAAAAAAGACGAAAATAAAAAAGATGAAAAAAAAAAGGTGTAAACTAAACTACCACAAAAATAATGATCAAGACAAATGAAACTTGAAAAAGCGAAAAAATAGACGACAAGGTCACAAAAAAGTTACAATATAACAAAAAAAATGACAAAATAAAAGTGAAAATAGGCAAATAGAAAAGAAAGTAATCAAAAAAGCGATTAAAAAAATTGTGAAGAAAATGCGGCAAAACGAGGACCACAAAAGAGCAACATAAACAAAAGAAAAAAATAGCGAGCCAAAAAGAGCAAAACGCGAAAAAAAAACAATAAAAAAAAATGCGGGCAAAAAACGACTAAAGTGAAATAAAAAGCGACAAAAAAATAGGACAGAAGTTATGAAAAAACAACAATAAGCGACTAAAAAATTATGAAAACCGACAAAAGGCTAAAAGATAACAAAAAACGCGACAAAACAAGATGAAGAAAAGGGTTACAAGAAATTTCAAAAAAAGCGAGAAAAAACAGAAAGGGGGCAACGAAAAGATACAAAAAGACCAAAAAAGGCAACAAAGAAAACACGAAATAAAGGCGTGAAAACAATAAGCCAAAGAAGATCACAGAAAATGCGACAAAAGAAAGCAACAAAAAAATTTTAAAAAGGGGCCAAGAAATAATGTCAAGCCCCAAAAAAGGTAATTATAGAAAGACATAAAAATGCGGAAACAGAAAAAAAAACGACCAAAATGTTGAGAAAAAGAACGAAAAAAAAGCCGCAAAAAAAGTTAAAAAAAGGCAAGCAAAAACACGAAAAATGTAACGATCCATCAATCAATCGATTAATCAATCAGTCAATCAATAGACAAACAAAAAACAACAAAAAAAGACGAAAAAATGGCGGCAAATGAAGCATGAAAAAGAATAAACAATTCGCAACAAAACAACTACAAGAAATCGTAAAAAATGCCATAAAAAAGACAACAAAAAATTGCTTAAAAAAAGGCAACAAAGAAAACAGCAAAAAAGGGTCATTAAAAAAAGCGACAAAAAAACAACAAAAAAGAGAGATGAACAAAAAAAACGAAAAAGGGACGAAAAAGGTTTTCAAAAAATGCGGAAAATAAAAAGACAAAAGGCGACAGAAAACGGCAAGCATAAGTGAGAAAATAAGGCACCAAAAAAAGACAAAACAAAAACGAAAATAAAGACGAGAAAAAAATGAAACAAAAAAAGACGACAAAACCGACACAAGAAAATGCTACAAAAAGAAGATACACAATGAAAGCAACAAAAGAAATGCGTAAACAGGAGAAAAGAAAAGCGTCCAAAACAGCGACAAAAAGAACCAAAAAAAAATAAAAAAACAAGAAATGCGAAAAAACCGACAAAAAAGACACAAGAAAAAGTTAGAAAAAAGGCGCCAAAAACACGAAAAATGTAACAATCCATCAATCAATCGAATAATCAATCAATCAATAGACAACCAAAAAACGACAACAAAAAAAAAGACGAAAAAATGGCGACAAATCAAGAATGAAAAATAGTAAACAATACGTAACAAAACAACTACAAGAAAACGAAAAAAAATGCATAAAAAAGACAACAACAAATTGCTTAAAAAAGCCAACGAAGAAAACAGCAAAAAAGGGTCATTAAAAAAAGCGACAAAAAACAACAAAAAAGAAAGATGAACAAAAAAACGAAAAAGCGACGAAAAAAGGTTTTTAAAAAATGCGGAACATCAAAGACACAAAAGGCGACAAAAAACGGCAAGCATAAGTGAGAAAATAAGGCACTGAAAAAGTCAAAACAAAACGAAAATAAAGACGAGAAAAAAATGCGACAAAAAAATCGATAAAAAGGATTACGAAAAAATATGAAAATAGAACGATAAAAAAAAGACGACAAAAAAGTGAAAACAGGTCGATAAATACAACAACAAAAAAGATGGCAAGACATAGTGTCAAAAAAGGCAACAAGAAAAAGACGAAATAAAGGTGTGAAAACAATGAAACAAAGAAGACTACAAAAAAATGCTACAAAAGAAAGTAACAAAAAAAGGCATCAAGAAAAAATGTCAAGGCGACAAAAAAAGGTAATAAAAAAGACATCAAAAGCTGACAAAAGAGACGTCAAAAAATGATATAAAAAGAAGATACACAAAGAAAGCAACTAAAGAAATGCGTAAACGAAAGAACGAAAAACAAATGTCAAAAAAATAAAAAATGCGAAAAAACCGACAAAAAAGAGACAAGAAAAGATTAGAAAAAAGCAAAAAAACACGAAAAATGTGACGATCAATCAATCAATCAGTGAATCAATCAATCAATCAATATACAAACAAATAACAACAACAAAAAATATGCCAAAAAAAAGACGAAAAAATGGCGACAAAAAAATGAAAAAGGTCCACAAATAGAAAGCTTGAAAAAGCGATAAAATGGTGATTAAAATATGCGAAAAAAAAACACAAAAACGAAGAAAAGGTGACAAAAAATCTGAGAAAAAACAACAAAAAAAGACGACAAGAAAAGACAGAAAAACTGGGAAAAAACGCAACTAAAAACGACAAAAGAGTGCCATGAAAAAGTAGAAAAACGAAAAAAGCGACGAAAGAGCAGACGCTGGAAAAATTGTCCGCTGAAATGAAAAATATTGTATTCTATATACATATTGATCGCGTAAACGCATTCCCAACTACAACCTTTTTCTAGGGCTATTGTCTTCAAAATAAATCGATTAATCAAAGTTAAACTCACTTCATATTAATTTCCAGACTCTAATTCATACACGTAACCACATCAATTTTATTTCTGTATTCCAAAAATACTAATAATAATAATAATAATAATAATAGTAAATTTATGAGTACGTAGCTACAAAATTCATAAAAGTCAAATCATTGTCTATAGTCCCATAAACAGCTCAGACAACTCAAAGTACGTAAAGGTGCTAATTCAATATTCTCCCAGTTCGTCACCCCAATTTCCTATTGGCAGTTTAGTCCAAGAACCTGTTTTCTGTCCAATCAATATTTTTAACTAAACCTGCAAAATGGACACGACCTTATCTCTTTCAATTTACGACGTGACGGGTGTCGGTAATAGGCGCGTTAAGCACTACAAGGTCAACTTCTATTTCAGGACTGGACTCCAAAGAGCCAATCAACACTCAGAACAGACACCTGACAAAACCTGACATCGAAAACCATAAAAACCGAAAAACCAAAATTACAGTCAAAGTCTTTGTCATTATTGCTCCTCCAGGTGGTGTAATTAAGTTAATAATAATAGTGCTAAAATAATAATTAGCTTTCCCCTTCCGTTATCAAACAGTGCAAAACTCGACAAGAACGTCCCTCGCCGCCGCGACCGTTATTCTTTGACAAATGAAACTTAATTAACCCCCAGTCAATTCCCACCCATCGACGCCCGTGCAAACACTAACGATACGATCAACATTCCCCCGGTCCCCAGTCCATCCCTGTTTAAAAAGTAACAGTCATTAATTCCATTCTCGATTTTTCTTCGTCCTGCGTACTTTAATTAATTTTAGAACGAGTTTCCTCTTTTCATCAAACTCAAATTACTGAGAGTGAGTCTGAATTATTTATTTTCAATTTAGGTAGTTATTTTCTGTTAATTTTAACCCGCGACGGCTGCGTGCCAAGACGCTGCGAATTCTTCATCCTGACATAGGAATTCTGCCAAAGCCATGCTCATATCTGTCTTAATTAAACCGAAAGCGGGGCATGTTGAGGGCTTAACAGCGTCATCTGTAACCGTCGCCGGGGAAAAGCGCGTTATTTCTTTTGCGCTCTATTTCTTGCCTCGGCTTTTGACCTTTCCGAAATTTTTATTTTTATTTTTGATCCTGGAGGAATAGGAGACGAGTTAGTAACGCTTTTTCGATTTGTAAATATTTATTTCACAGCAGATGCTTGTCTAACAAGATGTTTGCTCTTAAGCATGGTGGCGAAGGCGTCGAGTCCCTCCTGGTTGGCCTCCTGGTAGTAGGGAAGGCTCTCCATGCGTGCCAACCATTCGAAAATGTTGGGGAATCTGTTGGAGGCTAGTGGGAGGACGGCGTTGGCACTACTGACGGTCGCCACTAAGCTGAAATCGGCAATCGTGAGTGTGTTTCCAGTGACGTAGTACGATTTTTCTAGGAGGGACTCCAGGAGGGTGAGGCCTTGAAGGAGGGCGTCCGATTTGTCTTTGGGGATGATGCGGGCGCCTTCTCGGAGGATGGGGCTCTAAAAATAACGTTACGTTAACAAGGCGTCGGGGCGAATAAGTGGGGAAATTATTGACCAATCTGACAAACGTTTGTGCGTAGGTTATTTAATTAATTAACGTTTCGTATCTAAAAATGATATTATGAGCTTTTTGATGGTATCTTGAGTGTTTTAAAACGAAACGGATGGCAGGTTTACGGGTTTGGTTGGTCAAATTAGAATATATTGCTTTTAGTTATTTTTTGAGCTGTTGATTGAAATTAATTTAATGCAAAATTAGACTGACAAATCAATTTCAGGCAGATCAGAAGAATTCCATTTTATCACTTGATTTTCCGCCATATGAAAATGTCAGCTTTCGACCATTTCAAACTAACTGGGTTAATTAGACTGTCAGCTTACTCAAAATTGGTTCATTTAATAATTCGGGTCTCCTGAATCCGAATATGGGTTCAGAATTGACCTACGGAGCTTTCTAAATTTATTTTGATTTTTTTATATGACGCTACCTATTGAAAAATGACGTGCGCTTGGTGAACAAGTAAACTTGAAAAACATTTTTTCAGATGAGGATTGAAATGGAACTGTTGGCAGAAATGAATTCTGCAGGGCACAGTTAGTCTAAAAATGCAATTTCAAGCAGATCGGAAAGATTTATTTTTCACCTGATGTTTTGCCATACGAAAATTTCTGATTTCGACCATTTCAAGCTATCTCGATTAATTAGGGTCCCAGGGTTCTGAAAATTGGTTTCTTTACTAGTTCGAACCTCCTCAACACGAATTCAAGTCCAGAATTGACTTATGGAGATTTTTGAATTTTTCTGAATATTTTATATGGCCCCATATAGAACAATGACATCGTGCTTTTAATCTGTGTTTCAGATTTGAATAACAACCTTATTAAGACTAAAGCAAGTATTTGCTGGAGTAAAAATTTCCGAGGAATCGAATGGTGTAAACGAGAAGTCGGTATTTTGAACAACTTTAAAATGATGAACCTGTAAATTCTAAAAATATTTTTTGAGATATTGATTTAACCACGACTATTTGCTACTTCAAAATTGGTATTTTTACTAATCCGGACCTCCTGAATATGAGTTCGGGTTCGAAATTGACCTATGGAGCTTCCTAAATTTATTTTGATTTTTTTATATGACATTACTTATTGAAAAATGACATCATGCGTTTTATGGATTCCTCAGACCGAACCGCTAACTTCTATGGACCAAATAATCACTGACTGACTAGAAAACTTTAACGAATCGAATTGTAACAACAGGAAGTCCGTATTTTGAACCATTTTGAAATGGTGAACCAGTGAACTTCGGAAACATTTTTTGAGATGAGGATTGAACCGCGATTTCGATTGAAATGGAATTAAAATTCAGTAATTGATAGCAAAAACGAATTTCGCAGGGCAAAATTAGTGCAAAAACTCAATTTCAGCCAGATCGGAAGAGTTTTATTTTTCACCTGATTTTCTGCCATACGAAATTTCTGACTTGTACCATGTCAAACTATCTCGATTAATTAGGTTCTCAGCTTTCTGAAAATTGGTTTCTTTACTAGTTCGAACCTCCTCAACACGAATTCAAGTTCAGAATTGATATGGAGATTTTTGAATTTTTCTGAATATCTTATATGATCCCACCGATATCGAAAAATGACATCGTGCTTTTAATCTGTGTCTCAGATTTGAATAACAAACTTATTAAGACTAAAGCAAGTATTTGCTGGAGTAAGAATTTCTGAGGAATCGGATGGTGTAAACGAGAAGTCGGTATCTTGAACAACTTTAAAATGATGAACCTGTAAATTCTAAAAATATTTTTTGAGATATTGATTTAACCACGACTATTTGCTACTTCAAAATTGGTATTTTTACTAATCCGAACCTCCTGAATATGAGTTCGGGTTCGAAATTGACCTATGGAGCTTCCTAAATTTATTTTGATTTTTTTATATGACATTACTTATTGAAAAATGACATCATGCGTTTTATGGATTCGTATTTTGAACCATTTTGAAATGATGAACCAGTGAACTTCGAAAACATTTTTTAGATGAGGATTGAAACGCGATTTCGATTGAAATCGAATTAAATATCAATAATTGATAGCAAAAATGAATTCCGCAGGGCAAAATTAGTGCAAAAACTCAATTTCAGCCAGATCGGAGGAGTTTCATTTTTCACCTGATTTTCTGCCATACGAAATTTCTGACTTCGACCATTTTAAACTATCTCGATTAATTAGAGGTTCAGCTTTCTGAAAATTAGTCTCCTTACTAGTTAGAACGCCCTGAATACGAATTTGGGTTCAGAAATGAACCACGGAGCTTTCTGATTTTTTTTCTGTTTTTTTTTTTGTATGAGGCTACCGTAGAAAAATGACGTCGTGCGTTTTATCGGTTCCTCACTCCCGAATGTGTAACATATACGGCACAAACAATCATTTCTTTCGACTAAAAAAGTCCGAGGAATCGAGTGATACAAACGGGAAGTCGATATCTCGAACTGTTTTGAAATGGTGAACAAGCAAACTCCAAAAGTATTTTTTGGGATGAGGATTGAACCGCGATTTCCATTGAAATTGAATTAATATGTTACAATTGATAACAAAAATGAATTCTGCAGGGCAAAATTAATCTTGAAACTCAATATCAGACAAATAGGAAGAGTTATTTTACACCTGGTTTTTTGCCATACGAAAATTTCTGATGTTAATTATTTCAAACCATATTTCGATTAATTAGGCTCCCAGCTTTCATAAAATTAGTCCTTTTACTACTCTGAACCTCCTGAACACGAGTCAAGTTCAGAATTGGCTGATGGAGCTTTTTGATTTTTTTTTATTGTTTTGTTTGACCCCACCTACAGAAGAATGACATCACGTATTTTATCCGCTTCTCAGATCTGAATAACGAACTTATCAGATCAAAGTAATTATTTGCTAGATTAAAAATTTCTGAGGAACCGAATGGTACAAACGAGAAGACGGTATCTGGAACCGCTTTGAAATGGTGAACCCCTAAATACGAAAAATATTTTTTGAGATATTAATTGAACCACGATTTCGACTGAAATCGAATTAATATTCAACAACTAAGGACAGAAAAAAATTCTGCAGTCAAAAATCCGTCTAGAAACTCAGTTTCAGTTCGGTGTACGGAGAATTACATTGTTTCGCCTTATTTCCACCATACGAATAGAATGACGTCACTGGTAAACCAAGGAGGGTAATATTAGGGGTGGAGACTTGAGGGAGAGAATTTGGGCACGCTTGAGCCAATTTAACTGTACAGAGTATCTCATTTGCCAAAATCACTCTTATCTTAGCAGGTCCTAGCCCTGCCCACCCACCCTCTCTTTTCTTACAGGGTATCTCATGTGCCAAATTCACTCTTATCTTAGCAGAACCTAGCCCCGCCCACCCACCCTCTCTTTCCTTGGAAGGTATGTTATTGGCCAAAATGGGTCTTATTTTACCAGGTACTATCCCCGCCCACCCGCCCTTTCTTTTCTTACAGGATATTTCATTTGCCAAAATCAATCTGAACTCAATAGATACTAGTTCTCCCCGCCCAGCTTCTATTTTCTTAGAGGGTATGTCATTTGTCAAAATCGGTCTTATCTTAGCAGGTATTAGTCCTCTAAGAAAATAAAGGGCGGGTGGGTGGGGCTAGTGCTTGCCCAAATAAAGCTGATATTGGTAAATAACATACCCTCTAGAAAAATAAAGGGTGGACGGGAGGGGCCAATACTTGCAGAAATGAATTCCTTATCGAAAAATTAGTCTAGAAACTCAATTTTAGTTGAATCTAAAGAGTTTAATTTTTCGTCTTATTTCTGCCATACGAAAATTTCTGATTTCAACGATTTCAAACTATCTCGCTTAACTAGGCTCCGAGTGTTCTGAAAATTGGTGTCTCTACTAATTCGAACCTCCTGCATATGAATTCGGGTTCAAAATTGACCTAGGGAGCTTCCTAAATTTGTTTTATTTTTTTTTATATGACGCTACGTATTGAAAAATGACATCATGCGTTTTATGGATCCCTCAGGGCCCAACCACCAATTTCTATGGACCCAATAATTACTGATTGACTAGAAAAGTCTAACAAATCGAATGGTAACAACAGAAAGTCCGTATTTTGAACCATTTTGAAGTGGTTAACCAATGAACTTCGAAAATATTTTTTGAAATGCGGATTGAACCACAATTTCGACTGAAATCGAATTAATATTCAACAACCAAGGGCAGAAATGAATTCCTTAGCGAAAAATTATTCCAGAAACTCAATTTCAGTTGGATCTAAAGAGTTTAATTTTTTCGCCTTATTTCTGCCATACGAAATTTCAACATTTCGACCATTTCAAACTATCTCGATTAATTAGGCTCTCAGCTTTCTCAAAATTCGCATATTTACTAATTCGAACATCCTGAGTACGAATTTTACTTCAAAACTGACTTATGGAGCTTCCTGAATTTTTTAAAATTATTTTATATAACACTTTTCATAGAAAAATGACATCGTGTTCTTTATCCGTCTCTCAAACATGAACAACGAATTTATAAGACTGAAGCAATTATTTCCTGGATCAAAAATCTCCAAGGAATCGAATGGTCTGCAAGAGATGTCCGTCTCTTGAACCGCTTTGAAATAGTGAACCCGTAAACTCAAAAAACATTTTTTGAAATACGGATTGAACCACGATTTCGACTAAAATCGAATTAATATTAAACAACCGAGGACAGAAATGAATTCCTTATTGAAAAGTTAGTCTAGAAACCCAATTTTACTTGGATCTAAAGAGTTTCATTTTTCGCCTTATTTCTGCCATTCGAAAATTTCTGATTTCGTCGATTTCAAACTATCTCGATTAATTAGGCTCCCAGTGTTCTGAAAATTCGTGGTTTTACTAATTCAACATTCCTGAATACGAATTCAACTTCAAAATTGACTTAGTAGAGCTATCTGATTTTTTTGAACTATTTTGTATGACACTTTCTATAG